TTTATTATTTCCCATATTATAATATGATGTTTATGTGGAAGAAGGTATGTATAATTTAAGATCTGTAACCAGATCCAGATCCACTGTTTTATCGACAAGGCCTGTTGCATGCGACCCATGTGTTAGCCCTGTCTCACTTTAACCGTGTTGCCCTCTCGCTCTTGGCAATCCACAAAATGCTGACCACGCAAGTGTAACGTCGCCAGTTGTTGTTGCGTCTGCGCTGTTGCAGTCTTTTTTCCAATGTTATTTGGCCACTCAACCAAAGCTCCCCACTTCCATCTGCCTCTCCCATTCGCCCCTTTTTACCGCTCAACGCAATGCCGTCGACCTGCCCACATTATGTAAAATTGAAAAATCCGATGGGCGTGGTCACCAAACAACACACGAAAATTCTTTTACACGCATGCAATCTGCAAAATGTTTACTTTTTTGTTTGGTAACAAAATGTGTAGAAGACAAGAAGAGCATAACGAACTACGTTTTGACCCGGTTATTTAGGGCCAATAAAAAATATTAAATGTACTACTATTTAAAATTGTTTCAAATATATGTAATTTAACTGGAATTTAAAGTTTTTTTAATTCTTCACTTTTGTATACATATTTTAATGCATTTTAAATATAAACAATATTTTTTTCTGTGCATCAACAAAAACAATAATAGAACAATAACAACGACCAGTTTTATGGCCTAACGGTGCTTAACGTCACCTACTTTTCATTTTGGATTTTGGTTTCTGTTTTTTTGGTAGATAAAATAACTTTTCTTATAAGTATGTGTGCGTATTTGCTCCTCTAACTGTTAAAACCGGTTTTCATGTTGTTTTTCTTAACGTTTTTGGGCATTGAAAACGAAATTTATTTTCAAATTGAGTTAAGAAAGGAAATTGAGAAGAGGAAAGGTAGACCCGTGGAGTTTTGACCGAGTTTTCATTTCTTTACCACTTGAGAAAAAGTTGTTCTAATTTTTTAATATATTATATCGTTTCTTTATAAAGATTTTTATTACAAATTTAAGTTATTCTTTAGTAGATAAAAACATTAGTCTATTAAATAAATAATTAATTATTTGAAAAATTAATCAGCAATGCCAAAAATTTACAATCCTTATATTGAGTTTACATTTACGAATTTTACTGTATTATACCGATAGGTCAACATAGTATTTTATTTGAATTAATCATTCCTTATAAAATTATAGGAATACATACAAAGTATTCTCTTTATACTTTAAAAATTTCGAAAGCATTGATTAAAGGTTGAAATTTTACTCCGACTTCAACTTTACCTTTAATCCGTTTTTATTTAAGCAGTTACTCGTACCACTCCCCGAAACTTGAATAGTAACTTGAGAGATAAGACATGCAAACGTGACCATCACGAATGGAGAAAAAAAAGATGAAGGGAAAAAGAACACAAATATTGGAAACCAAAACATTTAAAAGTCGTCGTCGGTTAAAAACGCGTGCCAGGGCTAACTCAAGTCATGTCTTGTAATAAGCCTGATACAAAACTTTGTGGAATATGTAAAAGACTTTATCACATGTATGAGGTAAAAGGTTCTTTCACACCATGCCTTTTTTTCATGAGCTTATGGAAATCTATCGACATAAATCTAAGATTTTTCTTTGAAATTTTGTTGACCAACGCATGTATAGAGAGAAAGAGCTTAGTTAAACTGTTCCTAGTTTAGACTTATTCTTAATTTAAAACCGATACAACTTAGATAACTCTTAATAAAATTCTAAATTCATCTTGTAATTACTTAATAGTTATTATTTTTAAGTGAGCTAGCCGTTCAAATATTCAGTAGGCACTTGCAATTTTTGTTTGCTTTTTCATTTATCCCTTATTGGGGTCGCTATACATAAAACGAAGCTCCGAAAATAGACTCAAAGGCGAAAACTTGGCGTGCCTAAGGAACTTTTTATTATCCCAGTTTTATGAGCCCGTAAAACGCTTCATCGGCTGGCTGGCAACTGTTCCCTTGGCTAAGAATAAAACGTTCATTGAGCAGGCCAACACTTTCGCTTACTTGGGCTTCGGCTAATTTTACGTAAGCATACTCCACCTCAAATGTCCTAATTTCCTTGCCCTAACTTGACTTTTCCTCCCTTTAATAGGACAACTCGGTCAGGATTAGGTCACATGGGCTGCACCCACTTTCCGTTGGCCAAAAAGGTTAAGTTGGTAATTAAATTTGAGGTCAGTTCTTTAGACAGCTATCTAAATGTGGCAGGTTCCTGCCTTTGTTGTCGAGTTTGCTAAAAGTTTTTATCTGCGTGAACAAAATGTAATGAATTCCCTTGCGTGTCAGATTGTCATCATTTGCCTGAGATCATCAGAAGGGAGTCGTAAATATAGTTTGTCAATCTTTCGCTTGGCTGAGTGCTTTGATGGAAGGTTAAGATGGTTAAAAAAAATCATGACAGTAACCAGGAAAAAAAACTTCTAATGAAGGGATTTTCTTAAGTGCTTCCCGGACCAATTTTCTTTGTTGCCTTTGGACCTTAAATTGTGATTTGGTTTTGACGTTCCCCTGATACTTGATTACCGGTTTTTGGGGTTGATTTTTAGCTTTATGATGTCAGCACTTGGAGCTGTTGACTTTATTTGTTTAACCTTTGATAATATTTAGGCCAATTGCAACGTGTTCGGGAATTTTTAATGAACATTTCAAAATTAGAACAAAGTTTATATGCCTTTTTTTTGATCATATATATGCGATTTAAAGGTTTAAAAAAATCAAAACATGTGTTAAAAGGTTAAAATTTGTATCACATTTTTGCGAACTTTAATTTCCAATTTCATGCCTCACGATTCGCCTGCCTCAAAATGTTAATTAAGTGCAAAAGTGCACTGCGACATTTTAAGACAATTAATTTGTTTTCCAACTTACAACGAGAGTAAGAAGAAGAGGTGTAGTTTTTAATTGCTTCTCAACATTTGCTAATTAGGTTTTACAGTTGGGGAAACTCTTATCAGAATTTGCGAATATTCCCAAAGCACGGTGAAAAAGTTTGCATATTTAAGTTGAAGTCAAAGCCCCTCCCCCGGATTTCCCCTATCGCCAACACCTGCTGAGCTGCCGTGACTGAAAGTCATTTGAAATGTTTCACTTGCTGATGTTGTTGCTGCTACTGGCATAATTATTTTTATACATTTTTTTGTTTAGGTTCCAAGAGAGTTGAGTTGAAGCAAGGTAAATAAATTTTCAAACAGATTTTACACTTGCAGAGTCGTTCAAGGCAAGACTTTCGACTTTTGCGTTGTGTAGTGCAGTGCCCTGAAGTTGTAAATCTTTTTTGGAATTTGAAATGAGCTGTGATAAGCCAAACGGGGTTATGTTGGTGGGAAAACTGTTAGCTGTTGGCAAAGAAAATTGCAGGTTTTGAAGGAGTCTCAATGAGACTTGGATTTTACTTATCGTTTGAATGAGTTCAGCAGTAGTTACAAATTTAACTCGACTTTTAACTAACTTTATATGTAGTCATTTTTTATTTTGGTGATGTAGTTGTGACTTTAAGATATTAACTTTTAGTACAAGTTAAAGTAACGAACACTATCCATAATAAAAAAAAGTATGCGTACTTTTTAATTTTTCCATTCTTGTATCTTGTGTATCCGACTCCCTCTGAATCACGTTCCCAGATATCAAATATCATTCCTTATTAAAAAGATTAATATCTAAGCAAACAATTCTGTGAAGAATGTGGAAGTAAACAGATCGAATCATTGGATAAGCAGGATAAGATCGTTTACCTTATCGCCACACTGAGCGAAATATAACTTCTTCAAACGTATTTAAGTCTACCAAAAATACTAAATATGCATTATACTTGAATTATTTATTAAATATGCAAAATTATTTGTATTTATAATATAGTTATGCTCCGATTGCGCACTGCATATGAGACAATATTTACAGTCTAGCCAGCGCGAATTCCCATTCCAATCAGAGGTAAACAAAAATCAAAAGCGACAATATCAAAAAAATGCCAACAAACCTGTACGAGTTGTTCGCTGCTGCTGCACTGCCGCTGCCTCTGCCGACGTCGGCGTCGACGCCAAGAACTTCGACTTGAAAGCTCTTAGACGGAGTTGTTATTGTTGCTGCTGCTGCCTTTTTGCATGTGCAAAATGTGAGAGCAAGTGAGAGGGAGATATGGAGCCCACTAATACACGCGCGATTTGACAGGTAAGCGAAACACGTCGCAAAGAGAAGAAGAAGAAGAATCAGTAATGAATGATCGTCGCTTTAACTTTTCGTTTGCGTTGGTATGCGTGTGTGCATTTCTGGGAGTTAACTTGTAACACTTTTTAGCCTTGGAATTTCTAAATTAATAATGCACTTTCCACTTCGGTTTTAACTTATTTTTCTTTTGAATATTCCAAACTATTCACACACACACACTTGGAAAGCGCGCCGGCTGCGCAGGCGACTTTTGGTTTAAATTAACCCACGTACAACTTAACCCACGGAAATGTGGATTTCGTATCACGGATTTTAATGCGACCAGCGCGGCGATATATCGGCGACTGAGTGAGCAGTTACTTTTCGTACCTTCCGTCAAGTTTACCTGGCCGGAAAAGCTTTTAAGCCAGAGCTCAGCGCAGCGCAAGTGTGAGAAACGCAGTAGTGCGTTGAATATCTGGGTATTTTCAAGCCAATTCTGTCGGATTCAGAATCACTTATTGAAGTTAATTTATACACCAAGCTAAACTTACTTTATTTAGCTATTAAAGGCATTTAATAGAATTTAAAGCAACAACAATGATCAAATATTGATTTGTATATAAATGATTGTTTATTGCCTAATGGTTAAAACAATTGTTGGTATATTAAAAACTATAGATATAGAAAACAATTAGCAGTACAATACATATACTCTTTTTTATTATTTATAATTAATTTTACTTGTGTAATTTTAAGTCATTTTGGTCTGTAGCTACATTTACTCTTTATAGATTCTTTGCCCACCACTAATGGACTTCATGGAACTAGTTCATCGCTAACAGAGTTGCACAACAGTTCAGCAACTGAAAAGTAAAAATTAATATTTGTTAACTAAACTACTTTAATAATGCTGCGAGCAGGCTGCCAACTGCTTACGCAGTCCGCCCTGCCCGCCGGAAAGACGGGAGGCAACAGTTTCGCCCTGGAGTTCGTCCGCTGGCGCCGAAAACCGCGTTGGCTGCCGGTGGCCAAGAGCAAGATGTTCCGCGTGCCCGAGCGCACGAAGCAAACGGAGGAGGAGCGCACGGAGCTGATGAGGCTCCACAACCAGTACAAGTAAGTGGAGGAACTGCTGATCTTGTCTCCAGGTTCCCATATTAATTAAACCACAAGTTTTTTACCCGGAGAAGTTACCCTGCAATCCCTTCTAGAATTTCTTGAATGGGTTAGCAGAGACACCATCTCCATCCCACCAACAGATCCCATAACCAAAATTTCATAAAGTATCTATGCAAAAGACGCACGAAAGACCCTTTAGCTTAAAAAAGACCAAGTTTCCAAACCTTTTTTTTAAATATTATATTTGCATTCCAGAACCCAGCTCCGCTCAGTGCGTCAGTTTCTAAGGGAAGAGGTCGTCCGTCATGAGGAGACCTCCACCGCTGACCACATCGTGCTTACACCTGAACAGGAGGAGGCCGAGTTTCAAAAGTGCATGGACGCCAACGCTGCCTGGAACGCGACCATTGCCAAGGAACGGGATCAGCGTTTGGCCAAGGAGCGAGAGGAGAAGGTGGCCTATGTTCAGGAGCGATTGGACGCAAGACAGGTGCGCGAGGAAGAGCGCAGGGAGCAAGCCAATCAGCGGGTTCTGCTCGAGATCGAGCTCTCCAAGTCGTACATCACCAAGGAAAACTTGGACGCAGCCATCGAGACGGCCTTGGCCAATCCCGTGGATCACAACTTCGCCATCGACCTGGCCGGAAATCTTTACCAGGGACGCAGTACCTCTCAGCTCCCAGATGCCACTCCCGAAACGAACCAGCAGGTCCTGAGTAATTAATCGATTGTCATAGTTTGTTGTTACATTAAAAATGCTTTTTAACTAAAATGTTTTTTAGGGATAGTATTTTTAAAAAAAACTAAGATAATTTCAAAATTGGGTTATCTAAATAGTGAAGTTTACAGTTTTGCTAGGTTTCTGAGAGCCACAACTATCTATAAATAAATTTCATTATCTAAGTATTAAATTCTACTATAGTACAAAAAGTCCAAAAGCTGAGTAGCTTAAATATTATCATTTAACATTGATTTCTTCAATTGTTTCCAATTTATATATGCTAATTATCTTAAATATTTACGTAATTTTTTAACTGTCATTGGTGCACAAGAATTTTTAAATCCCATTATCCCCTTAGAAAACCAAACCTCTCGTATTACAAATTTCTATATTTTACGTTTATATACGGCATTTAGAGTAGGAATAACTTAGACTTAGGCGCAGCCTATTTACAATATTACATATCTACCTAGTGGGAAGTAAATGCAGGTTGTGCTACGTGTTCGGTGCCTGGTTCGTTCGTTTAGCTGCCGCCTCCTGCTGCTCAAAGAGGTGCACCCAATCCGGAGTGGCTTTGAGTTTTGCCTGTATCGGTCCCAAATTTATCATGTTTCCGCTGCGTTGCTCGCGGTTTGCTGTAACAGACATTAGCTCCTGCAGGAAACCTGGATCAAGGCCCATATCCAAATCAAAGCGGGTGTCTCCTAACTGCAGTTTAACGCGACCGGATTTGTACCGCAGGATCTTTCCGATTTGTCCTTCTTCCAGCTGTCGTAGTACACTCCCCTTGGCTCCGCTGGCGGATTTCGCTGCAGGACTTGAGGGTTCCGATTCACTGGTTGCTAGGGAATCTGGCTTGGAAGGCTCTGGATCCTCCGAATCATCGCTCACACATGGCAGCACATCAGGCAGTTGCATCAGAAATATCTGCGATTGGCTGGAGTCCAGAAAATTGCCAATGCTGCGCGGATAGCGACCGTATTGAAGTGGTAGTTCCTCCAAAGTTGCAGCTTGGACGGCCACATGCAGCTGCTGCAGATGCTGAGCCACTGCCAAGGTGTCTAAAAGCAAAAATATTGGTTAGAATAGAACAAATCGCAAGTCCAGATATCTTACCCTTCTGTGTTGAGGTTGAACTAGTATCCTCCGCCTTCACAATCGGTGTCTTCTGGGTCGCCCAAAGTCCTGGAGTTAAAAAAGTAATAATTTATGTTCATCAGGGCAAATTACGGAAACTAAAATTCAGGATTCAACACCTACCTTCCTTCAGAAGGATTGGCTTAAGGGCCATCTCAGTCTTATTAGCCTCCTCTTCACTGAGCTCCGCATCGCTGGCCTCCGACTCGCCCAGGAGTTCCTTGATCCTCTCGCCCTGGCCCTTGTCGTCCTTGCGATCTATCCGTTTCCTTGCCACGGCTACCTCCTCGCCGGCCCTAGCATATGCCGTTCCATTTCCAGTGGACCTCCGCATATGGACATCGCCAGCTCCCTCGGAGAAGAGTCCTTGCGTTTGGATGAGGGTGGAATTGCCCCCACCAGCGGAATTTCCACCGCGACCACGTGTTGCTCCCGTCCCATTGCCACGCCCACCCCTGCGGCCTCCCCTAGGTTGGGTGGTGTCCTTGGAGGTCTTGACATTGCTGGAATTTTAATGAGATGATGAAATAAACGATTTATTGGGATATCCCACTACTCACGCATTTTTGTTCCGCACTGCATTCAAATTGGGAGCAAAGACCTTTTTGCTGGCTGCTCCAGCGCCACGCCCACCAAGTGTCAGGTCGCGGGCGGGGGTCAACCTGGACATCCCATTGAGTGTTTCCAGAGGGCGGGTCCCGCCTCCAGTCGAACTATTATTATTCGTGGAGGACCCACTGGCTCCACTGATGGACGAAAGTGTTGCTGCTGTGGTGGCCGTCATCCGCTTCGCTGGCATGGCGTCCCATTCGCGCCGCCCGTCCTCCGGAAAAGTCGCAACAAGAAGCTATGCCTTATTTCACCTGAAAATCCGCTTGTTTTCCGTTGAAATTTGCGTCGAATCCGTTGGTTTTCCTTTGAGGTTAATAGGAGACCAGTGTTGAGAATTGCGCGATCAAGTGCCCACATGCCGATACACCGATTTGCCGATAGGAGTCTTCGAAAAATCATTGGTAGTTTATGCGATAGGTAAATTCGAAAATCATCGTAAATCCTACTTTATGCGATAGGTGATTTCGAAAATGAAAATTTTTAAAACTGTGGTAATAGAAATTATAGGTATTATTAAATATAACGGAATGAAGTTATGTATAATTAAATATGGAAAACGCGTTTATGGAATGTTGGACGAGAACTTTTCCCGAAATTGTTGGAGAAGTCTTAAGTGCGGTAATTTTTAAGGGGTTCACTTCAATTTTCTGAAAGCGGGAAAAATGATTTAACCAAATCAATGATAATACACCAATATAGAGTTTTCAAATTGTATATAGTATACCATCGATATTATCAATAGTGCCATCGCTGATTTGGCGCCGGGCATTATTTATAAACAAACCGGCCGATCACATTTATGATAGGGAAGTAATTTAACATAAATATAAAAATTATTCCGACGGAATCATGGCCTCCAAGCGATTTGGCCCCATGAAGGACTTCGCGCGGGCCAAGAAACCGCGCCTGGACGTCAGCGTAACCCGCGGATCGACTCGCCCCAGTCCGCCAAGGAATAATTTCGAGGGGATTTTCTGGGACGACGATGACGACGACGTGATCTTAATGGCCACCCAGCTGGCGGAAGCTGAATTGGAGGCGGAGGAGCGCAAGAAGAAGACGGAGCCGGAGATGAACATCGCACACAGCGATTTGACCTTTAGTGAATTTGCACCCATGAGCCATGCCTCCACCAGCACCCAACAAATGTTTCCGCCACCAGCGCCGCCCCCTTCCAAGAAGTCCACATCTATAGACATGGATGCGATCTTTGGGGACGATGACGACTTTGACTTCTTGGCCGTAACCCTCATCGATACCGAGCCACAAAAGCCGCCAGAGTGCAAACCCAGTACGAGTAGATCCGCTAGCACCACCATCAGTGTTCAGCAAAAAACCATGACGACGACGACTATAAATGCCACGCAATCCCGACAGCAGGAGCACCAGATCAAGTTCCTCATGGACCGGATCGAGGCCCTCAAGCGGGACAAGTCGCAGCTGGAGAAGAATCTGGGCGACAGCAACGAGCGAAACGAGATTAAATCGGGAGAGGTAGGTCAACGGACAAAGGGTGTTAGAGAAATCTCCAAAGTGATGTAACCAATTATGTTTACTTCCGCAGGTGTCCCTGCTCCGTGACGAGCTAAAGCACGTACGCCAACAGCTGCAGGCCAGCAAGATGGAGAAGCTAGCTTTGGCCGATGAAGCAAATCGGGATTGCAACAAGAAAGTGGCCGAGGCGGCAAAACAAATAGCGGCCAAGGATATCGAGTTGAAGATGAAGAACGCGGAGTACTCCAAATTGAAGACACAACAAAGGGCCCATGAAAAAAGTATGAATTCAAGCATGAGCATTGTTCAGGCTGCTCCAGATCACTTTGAAAAGCGGGGTTCTCTCCGTCTAAATAGGCTTAACATACACAGAACTGTGCCTAAATTAAGAACCGATAATGCTATTATGTTTGATTATACTGAGGATGAGGCTCAGGGTAAGAAACGGAGAAACCCCTTCGAACTAGAGCTTAAGCAACTGCTGCTCCATTACGCTCAGTTGCAGGCGCAGCCGAAATCTCTGGATAATCTCATCCCAAGAGTACTGTCTTCCGTCGGAAGGGTGTTTACGGAGTTTGCCTCGTACGTCCAAAGCTTGGACTTCCCGCACAACTGCATGTTATATCCATACCATCCCCACAGTTTCGAGGATGAAGATCATCGCATATCCCTTTCCCAGCAGGGCGCATTATACGAAAACGAAAAGGCTGTGTCATTGCGTCGCTATATAGCCACCTTGGCCTCGATTTGCCAGTCAGAGGAAAGGATTTCCAGCGCTATTTTGGAGTGGAAACAAGAAGATCTCGGTATACTACAGGTGGCTATTGAAGCTGTCATAAAAGTGGGATTTTCATACGAAGTGAGCAAACATTTTGGTTTGCTGGAAGCTTTGGCTTCACTCCTGAATAGTCTCCTACAAGGAAAGGATTTGGTTCAACAGAATGCGGATCTTCTCTTTAATTTGCTTAAACAGCTAGTTTTTACTCGTCCAAACCCATGGGTTTTTTCAGAACTGAGCTCCTGCCTTCTAAGGTGCCTTCAACACACGCAACTGATGGTTAAGATGTGTGTAAATAGTCACAAGGACTGCTTTGTGTCGGATCGCGTTCGCTCTGTATATCGATTTGGTCCCGACTCCTGTTTACTTCAGGTCTATTCGGGACTACTCGAGTTATGTTTCTTTAGTGAAACTCCTCTGAGAAAAAATCACTTCCAATTATTGCTTCAAATCGGAGTTAATCACGTGAGATTTGCTTTCGAATGCTTCCAAAATCCTCCGGATTTTATATTGGAAATGCTGCCGTATTTTGCGGATGATGGCGAGGAGGAATCTGGCGAAGGCACTCTGATGAAAACGGGAAGCAACTTGAGTTGCAACACGACGGGAGCAGTGCAGGGATCGATCTCCAATGGTTCCACATTAGCTTCCGCATCTAACTTGAATCTAAACTCAAATTCAAACTCAAGTTCATCGCAGCGCAGCAAAGAATGCGAGTGTTACGTGAAGTTATGTCTCAGTGCGGTCACTATTGTCTTCCAGGTGATGCACCAGTGGATGCTGCACGAAAGGAAACAAGGTTCGTTTGTTTTGTAGTTTAGTCTTAATTAAATAACTTTGATATGTAAATTTTAAATGTTTTCCCGTTTCAGGCACTGAAGAGGTAGGCGAGATTTCCCGAATCGCAGTGCACCTGCTGACCCTCGTCTTCCATGAGTATTACCTCACTTGCCTTTTCCGTGACTCCGAGGAAACGACAAAACATTACCTCAGCCTCATTTGCAACTGGTGGAGCGAGCATGCAGATTTACTTGGATTTCAGCCAATACAATGTAACTCAAAACACAGTTTTTTTAAATTTTATCCAATTCTAATTTCTTCAAATTCTGCTTTCACATAAGTGCGTTTGCTAAACCAGCTGGTAAAATCCCATTTCATGCTGAAACCTCTCCATCAGGATGCCAATCGCAATAATCCGGGCAACGACCTCTCCGAATGGAACCGCATTGTCAAGAATGCGGATGCCCAAAAGACGATGAAGTCAGCACACAAATCCGACCCCAGTAAACTGCTCGACATCGACTTCTTTAGTGCCCTTAATAGGGAAGAGTCCACTTTTGAATAGTTATCCTTTGTTATGTTTATATATATTTTAGCATTAGTTTTTAAAAAATGATAAGTGGGGTATTAAACAAATTGTACAATTTAAAGTCTGTTAATGAAATACTAAAAGTTTTAAATGTCGAAAATAATCTAGCATTTTTTTTTTTACTTCAATTTTTAAGATAATGGTAGCCTTTTAATATTTTTCATAACACAATTTTTTAATGTAGAGCATTTAAATTGGCCGCCAACAAATTGTATTTTGTTTTATTTCGATAAATAGATCAGTCTGTGGTGGTTCCATTTATCGCTCAGCAGGAACTGGTTTAATCAGCTGCTATTTGCTCATTTTAACCGGTTCGGTTCGCTTGGAACTAGTCGAAAAGCGCGATGTTCTCTGTTATTTTAGAATTATAATGCTTAATTAATTATTTAAGAACTATTTGATCGATATACATTTCGTTTCAAAGTTCGCGTGTATAATTTACAATTTCATGTGCTGAGCTTGGTTCAATTCATAACCTTATCATTCCTGTTTCTGCCCGCTTTGTTGACAATCGCAATTGCAAAGGTTGGTGAAAATAAACAATAACAATATATATGTATGAACAAATAGCTTTAATAGTAATATGTAGAACATTTGAAGTGATATCAACACAATAGCAATGAAAAGCTACAATTACAATCGCATACATGCCTACACAGTTCGATCTGTATTTAATTTGGGCTTTCTCTGACTAACTTGATTGATTTATTTGGTTTTTAATTCGTTTAATCTTCCAGGGGTCATAGACCTTAAAATGTTAATATTTTCACATTATAATACAACAAAAAAATCTTACTTTTAGCACTAATAAGAAAGAAAGTAAATAAAAACAGAGATGCCACAACATCTGCGACCTTATAAGGCGGGGATGATCTTAAGGAGGCACACACTAAGTGGTTGCTGTAATTTATTTTTCGGGAATGGTTTCCAAAAGATACATCCAATTTTATAAGGTTTCTTAAACCTATCCCTAAATCCCTTTTTAAACATATTAAAGAATCCTAAATCACATCTATATCTAAATCTAAAATCGCGTTCTTGAAGAAATTACAAGGTTTCAAAAAAAAAAAATGTTCGGTTTCGTTTCATATATAAAATATGCATTAAAAATATTATTTTTTTATTGACTTTATTTCGTTTTTAAATATCTTAGAAGGTAAAGCAGTGAAATAAATCCTATTGAAAATTTACAGGCATGCCCGTCTATTTCGACTCGCCTGGTTATGCTGATCAATATACATATATTTATAAATTTTTTATAAATAGATTATGTATTTTTTTCACAAATATCATATTCCAAATATGGCAAACGAAACTCTTTCTTGAAATGTTTCCAATTTTTGACATGATTAAAATTAAGCCTCTGATGGTTTTCTTGGCCAGATTGGACTTCAATACCCTTAAATTTAAGCTAATAGAAGGTTTAATTATAATTTTTATAAACTTCAAAGCTAATTTTATCTTACAATTAGACGGATAAACGGGTCTTTTAAAATTTGATGTTAAATATAAAGCTTGAATTATTATAATCTTTTTAATTATATAAACTTTACCATAACATCCGATGTCCAGTACCGAAAAAATAATTTAGCAGGAAACATTTTATAACACGCTTTCATGGGATGATACATTACAGACTTAATGGAATGTGTCTTAGAACTTTTAAAGTTATAATCATATCTTTATTATTATAATAAAATACGAGACCTGATAAAATATATTTTTTTTATACATAACTGATAAAAATTTTGTATTTGAAATTCTTCATCTTCATTCATTGCAAACAACCTTCAATCAGGTGTCATTTAGAGGCCCCATTCAACCCATTATTATTAACAATTTGATCTCGTGATTTAGTTGTATTCCGCTTTGTTTGGGGTGTGCTCAACGATAAACACGTTTTATTTTTTGATCCCACGAATTAGAGCTTCCACACAGAACAAAATCAGTTATAGACTTACAAATATTTAAATTAAAAAAAAAAACATATATTTTATAAATACAATTGTTATCCGCAACATTTCATAACCTAGAGTAAAGGATTATAAAATAAAATTCAAAATTCGTTCTTCATAGAATGGTATTCCTTGGGCAGACTCATCCCAAATCTAATTTCATAGTACCCATATTTTATGTATTTCTATTACATGTACATTTTGAAGTAAAAAAAAGTTAATTAAGTGTTATCCTACTATACAATTGCGACGTAACTATTAAAACCGTGAGATCATTTCGTAATTGTTGAAATATAAAAGATTAAAAGATACTTAGTGCGAAATAGTTTTATTTTATGTGTTGATCATAAAGTGACAAAGCCAAAGCTTCCAAATATACTAGTACAAATTAAAGGGGAAGGCCGTAGTGAATTTCATAACTAGTGCACCACACATTTGTTTAGTCGACTGGCGAGGTTTGTTCAGAACGGACGCGATATGGAACCGGAAAACTATAGTGCGGCATATTTCGAGAGAGCTTTGGCGAAAACTTATAGTTGCGAAAAGCTACGCGTGGAAAACTTTCACATCGAAGTGGTAAGCCAAACAGGCGAGAACTTTTGCAGCGTCATCTACCGGATTGCTTTGGACTTTCGCCGGTCCCCCGATGGGGCTCTTGAATCGGGAAAATATATTCTCAAGGATCTGCTGCCCATCGCTGCTGAAGTAGGCTCAAATGAAAAGGATATGTTCGAGCAACTACTGCCAGCATTGTCAGCTATTCTCGACAAAGCTCCAACGGAATTTGGCGAGCACAAATTAAGTGCAGAGTAAGTCAGCAAAAAAAAGAGAAACAAAACTGTTATTGCATTTATTTTTAATTTAAAGATATATTTTTTCGATGTTACTAGTATAATAAATCTTTATAAAAATGGTTTTGCAATTTGTTAATTAAAACCCTTTTTGCTCTTTTATTTGTTTTAACCATGAAAAAAGATAATTACACATTTTGAAATTGAAATAAATAATCATGAATAAAATATGTTCAACTAAATAGTTAAAATAATTTTGCATAAGTTTTGGCACTAATATACAATGTACAAAATGAAATGTAATGTTAATTTGAAAGCCGATTGATACGTTTTCTTTGGGTTTTTAGTTGCCTGCTGGCTGAGGCATCAGCTGGGAAGGAGATCTACATCTTGGAGGATCTGGGTGCTCTCGGTTACGGATCTTTTGATCGATTCCAGGGCCTTAACTTGGAAGATGCAAAAATCTGCCTGAGAAAGATGGCTCAGTTCCACGGCGCTTCCATGATATTGTTTCAGAATCAACCCGAGTTGATAGCAAAGCTTTCCCCTTCGCATTATGGCAATGGACTATCGGATCCCTTCGCCAAGGTCATCGTCCTAGATGGCACTGAATTCGCGGCAGAAGTGTTTGCCGACGAACTACCAGAAATATCTAAGAAAATGAAGGCTCAAATACCAGACGCATATTCCAAAAGAATTGCCAAAGTGGTCGATCCAAAAAAGTCGTCCTTTAATGCGGTTGTCCATGGTGATCTCTGGGTAAATAATATGATGTTTGATAAAGCTAATAAGAAGGCAATACTCGTGAGTGAAAATGTATACTTTTAAGCTTCCGAATTTTAGTTATAAATGTTGTACCCATTTTAGGTGGATTTCCAGAATTGTTTTTGGGGCAGCCCGGCCATAGACCTTCAATTCTTTTTTTACACCAGCATCAGACAAGAAGTATTACTGAATCAGCAGGATGAGCTTCTGACCCAGTATTATCACAGCCTTCAGGAGACTTTAATACATTGTGGGTTTAGAGAACCTCTGCCCACTTTTGATCAATTGAAGAATGAGATGCAACGTTGTTTGTTTTATGCATACTATGCCGTTTCCTGTGAGCTTCCTATTTGCTGTGCTTCACCTGAGACAAGTGCCGATTTCAGTGTACACACTTTTGGGGATCCAGAAGCTATGGTAAAAAAACGTCACCAATTATTTGCCAGCGAGCGAGTGCGCCAAACAGTAAAGGCATGTCTTCCGCAGTTTGATCAACAGGGTATTTTGGATACCCCTTGATTTCGGCACAAATCAGTTGTTTTGCTTGGTTTTTACAGTTTATTTTTAATTTTAAGTGTGTATTATTATTTTATACAAATAAAACTGTTTCATGTATTTTAACTCTGTTATATTATATAATATATATATGAGAAAGTTTAATATCTTCAACAATTATTTTATAATATTTTAAAAACAATTATTGGTCGTTGCTAAACACAATAGGAGAACTGGAAAATCGTATTTTTCGTTGTAACCATTAATAACGAAGAATACGTTTTTTTGATATTACACATCTATTCAAATTTAACTATTTAAAATATTTCTGAATTTTAAGCCTTTTCTCTTCTCAATTATTTATTTAAGTTTCTCTTTATTATTGATTCATTAACCTCTTGCCCATTTCCAGAAAATCAGTTCTTATAAAGGGGTAAAAACCCAACTCAAGTGTTACTTCTTGTGTTTATAAATAAATTTGTTGTCTGCCAAAGTTTTCAGCCAAGATTTACGAGTGTGAGTGTGTGATGCATGTGCCTTGGCTGGCTGCATTAAAAGCGATAAAGTTCTCATCTCACCTCCTTGCAGCTAAATATGCAAATCGCTTTGCAGTTATTCTTAGAAAGTTGTCAGCTGCCAAGTGTAAGCCAATTTGGCTTCAAACGTAAGCCAAGCGAAGCGAATCGGTGAGCATATAGGAGCAGAATGCAGAATCGACGAGGAACATCCTGCAGGAGCGTGGGAGCCAAATGCATTTGACTTCGAACTCGCTTGTCCTTCTTCTAAGTGTTTAAAAAGCAATTTATTGTTCTTGTTCGAGGGCAGTCACTTAACCCATTCAAAGATGTAGTTTGGAAAAGGTAAAAGGTGGCAAAACTCTTGAGGAATTTATTTATCGTGACTTCTTATTCTGTTGGAATTCATAACCAGACAAGGTGATGATGCTTATAACCACAAATAAAATTATTTATTTGGCTTAATTATAAATAACCCCTTAACTGGAAAATATCATCTTTATAATATCCATACATACATATATTTGTTTTTGGTCTCCTAATCCTTATATATTTAAAAAAATCACCCGTTGAAGTTTAAAATGCAATGTATTCTCGTGAAATCACACAAATCGTTTCAACTGTCGGTCAATTACCATTTCCCCCTACTTTTTACCACTTTCTAGCCCCCTTGGGTAATTGTAAACCTTAATTAACATTGAAAACAAACACGAAGACCCAAAGCAAACAGAAATGTGTCTAAGGCTGCCAACCAGTCGAAAGAAACTCATAAATCAATTTTGAAATGCATTAGAGACAGGTAGCCAGCCGCCGTATTTCCCCATGCCCCAAAATTGTTAAGGAAATGGCTTGAAGCAAAGTGACTGCAGAGTTGCTGCAACTCGAAGGGGTCAACTTTCTGGAGCTGGTCAGTGGCCAAAAGTTGCAACAGAGTCAACCCCTAAGACCCAAATCCCCCTCTTCCTTCGTCACCTTTCAATTAATGCGTATTTCTCCAGTGTCATGGTGGAGAAGTAGCTTCCTTTGCTTTCATCTGGGGTTGCATTTACTTAACGCCTCGCCTCAGCACTTAACTTCCGTTTCCTGTTACCAGGGGAAGGAGCTCCGGTTCAGAGTCCCCGACTTTCGGGCAAGGCATTTGCAACTAATTGAAAGTGCAATGCGATGCTGCAGAATGCAATTAATGCCTTGAGGCCCTGGAAGGCCAAAACTCCCACCTTCGAACGTCTGCAAACGAGAAGTTGCATTCGAAACCGAAATGCACAGAAAAATTGTACGAATTTAGGTTTAATTGGGGGTAGTCAAAGTCTACTCAGGAAGTTTGAGGATGTGGTTGGTGAATAATTGCTTTTTTGATCCAAACTTCTATTTTGAACAGAAACAAATAATGGAAAACTAATCATTTCTGAAATTCATATATGCAGGAGAAAATGGTTTGTTAAATTTAAAATTATATTGAAAAAGATGTTTACAAAATGTTTCTTAATAAAATAATAATTGCTCGATGAAGTAAATATTGAAAAGAGAATATATGTAGGTATTCATTTGATCACATCATTTCTTCGATTTTAATATTTGTATTGATACGCTATTGCGTATTACGTATACTTTTAAAAATATATCGAAATCTGGGACCTATGGGCCTATTTCTTCAACACTCTTTAATAATTAAAAAAATATATCTACAAACTAACCAATAAACTCTAAGTTTCCTTAATCTACGATTATTTGGCACTATTTCCTGTTTCAATTCTAGAATAACTCAAGAAACTTTTATCAATTAGCTGCCAACTACTCAGCGTATGGCTGATGTTTAGGAAATGAAGGTCCAAGTCCGAATCCGAATCCTGTGGGGCATACAATTAAAAGCAATAAATTTGCCCAGGCAACCATAAATCAAAGTCCGATCATAATCTAAGCTAAACAAATAGAGAGAAAAAGCCAAAAACGAAACACTCGCTTCCGTTCAGAATGTTCTCCTCCTTTTCCTAAAAGTTCCAATCCAAGGAAGTTCACCACAATCCGGGGCAACAGTCGCTTCGCTTCGTTTATTAATTGTACAACTGTCTCCAATCATAATTAATGAACTTTCGGCACATCCTCGTCCGCAAACTCCACATATCCCCTTATTTCGAGGAGAAGTGGAGGACCAACACTGAAATATAAACACAAATGTTTTCCTTGGCACACCATAAATCTTTCATTTGGCAAATCTCTGTTGGGCCTTTCCGTTCAAATTCTTTTCCCTTCTCCACACTGTTTTTCTTTGTTTTATTTGCTTTAATGGTTGGCAGTATCAATTAGACACATTAAAGGATTTACTGGGCTTAGTTTTATTGTCTTTGAAGAGATTATGTTTAAGCCTGAAGAATAAAAATTCTTGTATTATAATCGTTATTTTATATTCCCTACTCGTATAGCTGAAGGTATGGTCTTTTAAAATATATCTAAACACATGGATCTCAGAAAGTATATATATACTTAATATACAAAAATCTCTATTAGGTTATTTCATTTCTATTTTACAATATTTCCTGGGATTGCTCATAACAATTTTAGAAACTTCTAGTTTAACTAATTTTTTATTGTAACATAAATAAACATTTGAAAAAATTATAAGTATAAATACAGAGAAACCATTTCTAATTGTAAAAGCACCAAAAGAAAAAAAAGTCTTAGAAAAATGGAATGACTTTCGCAAACACTGGTAAAGATTTAATGACGTGGTAATTTCAGTCCGGGAAAGCGGAAAATTACATATGCAAATCCCTTATAATTATCAGCGAAAATCTTTGGAGGAACACATCCCCCATTCGCATTCGGAAAAGCTTAAAAGCAAACACCTAAATTGCAATAATTTTTCATACAGTTTGGGCTTTTCTTCAACGCCACTCATCAGTGGCTCATTTATCAACGTTGTCTGAGCGATTGCGATTAGTCAGTTAGTCATTTCAGAGCCAAATTTAAATAATTTTAAAATGATGACAAAAGCTTTTCAAGGAATCCAAGTAATTATGCGCACATGGCATCCAGAGAAAGGTTATGTGGGGACTACAGGCATTAACACTTTCACGGCAAACAATCTAAAGATAAATGAAAGCATCATTAGTCATTGGCCAACCCCACAAACCGGGTAATCACATGTGTCCTCTGCAATTTTTCACATTCCCTGCCAGAAGGGTGCGATTATTTGTGTTTAAATCCTTCACAGAGCCAAGTATTCATATGCAAATTCTTTGCGGCAGGGTGTGGCAGGTCTCTAGTCCTGCAACTAAGTACTTTGAGGCCTTTCGGTCCATTGTCATTGTGGCAAATTATTTATTGGCTATCATTACTTTGATTGCAGACTACTTACGTTAACGTTTTTAAGTTCTAATCTTAAAACGGAAATTCGAGTCAGGTTTTTGTATCTTATAAATAGAATATATAATATATATTCTGTTGACCAACCTGTTGTCTACCTCAGGATCAATATTAAATTGACAATATGGAAGGGCGCCGATTTCTCAAGAAGCACCAGGATTCCACCCTCTTCTCCATAAATGTTTGTAATGAAGTTACCTATGTGAAACATAACAATGTCGTTTCTTAATCTTCTGTGAATTTAAATAAAGTTACAAGATGCGCGAAAAAGACTTACAAACTCACTTTTACAAAGCATTCTTTGTATGACGTGTTTGTAAAACAAAGGGTAATCAAAACAAAGGCAATCCTGAATTATTTTTGATAAATTTCTTATGGCATTCTCTGTTTACTAGTCGATGCCACCTAAGTTTTATGAGCTCAGCTAGACATGGGTTAAAAAACTAATTACCTCAACCAGAGTTTTTCCAAACTGACGAAACTTTTATGGTCGGTGCGAATTCAGCACTTTCAATATAATTTTTAATGTCATTTTGCATAGGATTTGAATAGTGCAATCGATAAAATTATCTCCTCCCGTCCAAATATCCACATTGCCGTTAAAGATTTTATGACATTTTTGGTCTGTGCGAGTTAAGGCGGAAAATTTGTTGGTCCATAAAAGCGCAGCGTCGTCACTCAGAATGGGTAACACAATTTATTCATAGTGCACATACCCCAGAATCTCAATCCACTAATTCATATTTAAGTGATATGGGCAGTGTTGTGATGTGTATAGGTGGGGACTTTTGCTTCTAATTTTGAATTTATTTCGAGAAAGTTACAGCATAAAAAACTAAAATTGTACAACCTTAAAATATTAATTTTGAGTCTTAGAAAATAAAACCGTAAAATGTTTTTACAATTTGTCTCCATTTAAATTTGTAAATGATAAAATCAAAATGGTTCGATGTGTAGGATTATTTTACTTAATACTCACTTCTTGTTCTGTAAAATATATATAAAATATTTTATTTAGCTTGTTTAAAACTGATTTTTAAAATTCATTGTCAAGAAAACAAAGGCAACTCTGAACCTTAATTTCATGTTAAACTAAGTAAATCGATTTGATTGTTTTCATAAATATGAATGTCAATTTCTTTAACAAATACTTATTATTAAAGTAAATTCACGAGTGTCTTTTACTTACAGCGCATTCCTGAATTGACTTATACACAATGCGGCCAAAGGATCACCCCGATCTGCGTTTTGATGTGATCCCAAAGTTGTTCGATGCACACTTTAAGGTGTTTGTAACGAACCTGGTCCATGTGGAGGAACAGCTTCATCTGCTGCCCCGCCAATTCTGCCGGATGTACACCACTCGTCCGCTGGCCAACCAGTTGCAACAGTATCTTAAATTGCGCAAAGCGAACATTAAGGAGCAGGATTTCAAGGTGGTGGAGGAGGGCCAGCCCTTCCCGCTGGTCCTTAGCGATGGAAAGCGCCTGGAGGCGATGCTCTGCTCCGGGAGTCATTTGGGCCACAGCCTCATCCTGCTCATCCGGCGGCCACAGGATGGCAGATTGCTATACTGCTACTCGGCAGTGAGGCTGGATAATCTCGGTCGTCTGCTGGGCAACTCCATCTTCAACTCATGGATCGTCAAGGGCACCGAGCATCTGTATCTTAATCTCACCTCAGTGAACGAGCAGTTTGAACCAGTGGATTTCGATAGGATGGCAATCACTATCGAGGAATATGGAAATCAAAACAATGGTGTAGAGGTGTGTCTAGTTTTGCCACTTTTTGGCTATGAGGAGATGCTCTGGAAATTGGCACATACGCAACTCAATGGACATATCCGACTTGGTGACGTTCTTAAGGACAGCTATAAGTGCCTCAGTTCCGATCTAGAGCGTTTCCAGGGTTTCCATTGCCTTGGGCAATGGCTTTATGTCTGCTCTTCTCTGGAGCACAGTCAACAGGGTAATCAACAGGAAAACGTAGTTTTCCTTAATATAGAACACCTTAAGTGGTCGCCACCGCCGACGAGGATGCATCTCCGTCAGCTTTGCAGCCTGATGAGACCGCAACACATCCAGGGTATTGTGCACTTCCATTCGAATGGCATTGTCCCGCCCATTCCGACATACCTAAAAAGGTTCAAGGCAAACTATTCTCCGCAGAAGGAGGGCCTAACATTGTCAAGGGTCCAGGTGGAACCACAGGAAAAAGTAGCAAGTAAAGGACACTATCGTGCTTTATTAAACAGAAAGGCCTTCGAATATCTAAACGATTTAGATAGCACTGATTCGGATTAGAAAGAAGGAATCATCTCTTTAATAACGATTTATCAGGCTGTGTTCCTATAAATGTTCAAATAAAATGTTCAGCAAAATAAAGTAAATATTGAAATTTATCAATAAAGCAGAATAAGAGAAATGTACTAATCATCACAAGTTTTTTTTTAACTTTTATATTTAAAACCAAAGAAATATAGTATGCTAATACTATTTTCCAAAGTATTTATTTGGCTTCACTGTTGGATAATACACCCACAAACTAAATTTCTTCCATCGCATTAAAATATATAGAACGAATTTTTGGTGGATCAATAGGTTTTCTTCTGATTTTTTCCAATCTATCATTCCGTTTCTTCTTCCATCGAGGAATACCCAAGACGCTCAAACTCCTCAATCGCTTCTTTCATTTCAAAAGTTGTAGAATTTTTGCCCTCGGCGTAATATTCTTGCTTAATATCTGAATCCGACTTCTTTAAGGAGTTTATATCTAGTTCCTCCAGGGTTGGGGACTGAGATCTCAGCTGGATGGCTTTTCCTGTAACGTTATAGTTACCAAGCTTTAGAAATTTCATTAGCGGTAGATTCCACGTACAAATCTTGGGCATTGTGAAGAGCAATACCAACCCTGGATAAAAGTTTATCTATAAAACTTATTTGTTTTTTAAAAGTATACTTACCCAAATGAACTATATAGCTTATGTAAATAATCTCACCAAGTAGATACATTCCAGTTAAGATTACCATCCACCTGAGGGACGTCCAAAGATTCTTTACAAAAAAAATCGATTGCAGCTTGATGAGGAATTCAAAGATTTTGGATGACACCAAATATATAATCTGTTTTGATGGCTCCTTGGCAATATTCATGTCCACGTCAAGATATTTTTGGTAGGGATTTCCCTGAATATTCGTCTTATTAAAGCACTGAAGGCATCGCACATAGAAGCGGTAGCCGACGGTTATCCAAAGTCCAAACAGACCCCATACGCCAATCACACTTATGGCCGACTCATTAGTGAGATCGAAAACTATAGCCTGCAGGACTATGAATACCAGAACCGACTTTCGCCAGTCGCGCCACAGGATCAGATGGGTTATCTTTTCACCAATACAGCTTAAAATATTCTTATCCAACTCCGCGTTGGGTACAAAAACTGGAAATGAGCCCGAATCGGAGGCCATTTTTTTTGTATAAGATTTTTATGAAATTCTCGCCGATGTCGACTTGTAAATATATAGAAAAGACTGACTACTCGGATACTATTTCAATGGCAGTTAAAAACTAAGTTGTTCAGTTTGTTTTTCGATGAATAACTTGTTAATCCAAATATTTTTGCGAATTTAAAATGAGTAACTTAAATTTGATTTCTTGTATATAACGCGCTACCTACCCAATCACAAACGTTCCCCAAATTTCAACTGCCAAGAGCACGTGTTACCAAGTGGCGTCACCTGCTCCCAGTTCTGTTTGCTAAAGGGGACTAAAATCAGAATTCCCACAAAACATTATCCCCAGTGAATTATGCACAATAAATTGATACCCACTTTATTTAATCTGTAGAAAGGGTTTTCCGCGCATACAAAATGTGGTTTCCCCTTTTGGTTGTCAATTTCTTTGCATAAAATTGATTTTGAATTTGGTTAAAGCTTATAATTAAAAAAATATTGGTTCTTATTTCAAATGCAAAGTCAAAATAGTAGCATGCTAGTATGCTGATTTAAAGTAAGTTTAATAACCTTGAAATTGAGCAAACTGATATTATATTCAGGTAAACAACTTTGGAACTACATATTTAACAATTAGTAATTTGCATGTTTAATAATGATTGCCTTAGGTGTCATATATTTTCTGCAGATTGCTAACTTAAGAAATTTCTAAAGAACTTTTATGGCGGAGAATATTATTTTCTAATTAAATTTTTTTCAACTTCAAGAAATGTAAATCAATCAGAATGATTTTCAAGACCTCTTCGTCACAGCTTCCTCCGCGTTTGATCCGAACCGTCAACAACCTCTTTTGTCCCAATTCTCCTCGCAATCTGGGCAAATAATTTGGGCACAAGGTGTGACCAACGCTTATTGAGGGTTTGGTCGATGACACTCAGCCTTCTGTCTCCCAAGTCAATCGCTTGCCGATTGATTTGTCAAAGGCATTACGCTAATATTTTGGGCAAATACTGGCAAAAGTCACTTGCTGGTTGGCGTCAAAATGACATCGAGTGGTTTAACTTTTCCACCCTGAATATTATGAAAAAAAATATAAAAAAAATGGGGAGGGTGAAATAAAAAGAGAATGATTTAATTGAGTTGTTCAAGTGTCAAAAGGCTTTTAGGATCAAACCGCGCATCAAGGGTCGATTTTAGATTTTTAGTATAATCAAGATGGGCTTAATTTTTGTTTAGAATAAATCATATGATAAAATAAAATTAAATGTTTAATTGCTAAGAGTTAAAAATTGTTTTAAAATGCTTAAGCTATTCTAAAATTGCAAACCCTTACTTTTGATTAATAACATTGAAAACACAATCCCGCATAGTTTTCTATTGAAAAATGAAGAAATTATTACTTATATTATAAACAAAGAGAAATGTACAATAAAAATTTCTGCACTAGCTTAATTAATTTTTATATAATTGTATGAATTGTATTTTATGTTTGTATGTTTATGTATGTTCCCTTCCAAATTACATTTCTTCATTGCCAGTTTCAGATTACTTCACAAAATATTCTCAATTTCTGTCACCTTCAATTAGAATTACAGGAAATTAATATGCAAACAGTAAAATCATTGTATTTGCGTTCAAACATGGGCAGTTTAATTAAACTAAATTCCCCCTTGGAGCTCACATCTCGACGTTTAGCACACAAACTCGAACAGGATATTAGAATGTTTGACAAGTTGTCAATGCATCAAGACAGAAAGGACAAGGCAGAAAATTGCCAAAGAAAATCTTATCGTTCATTTCGAATGTAAATTAAAACAAATACACATAAAATTACTTAAAATTGCAATGATTTCCTTTTGGCCCTGTCAAAAAATGAAAGTCGTCGCATGGTGTGCAAATACCTAAAATATGCAAGGCTCATATAACACTGGTTTTAATGTAGATCAAAGTTAAAATTGGTTTAGATACAAATAGGAAAAATAATTAATAAATAATATTTTCTATATTTTGTAATCTTTTCACATTTAATTTTATTTTGTAAAGATTTAAAGAAGTAAGAAATGTAATTATTTGGCAATCATTTTACTTTTGATTTTTAAGGTCTAGTCAAGTAAACCAAATTTATAGAAAAGTAAGTAAATAAAAGCCTAAAGAAATTAAAGTTTACTTTTAGTATAGTGTCATACATGCATAAGATGTAAGTGTCAAAAGCAACCTGAAAATCTCAGCAAATATTCTTCTTTCGAGCCGATAAAGTTGTCATATGAGTTCGGCTCCTTTAACGCATTCGCTTCGACTTCTTTATGGCCAGGCGACAATGCCAGGAATTTGTTGTATTAAATTCGAAATTGTCTGGGGGCAGGAATCCACCCCAGACATGGACAATGGTATCCCTGTGGCATGGAGGGGAGTAAATATTTCGGCTGCCCCCTGAGTTCAGGCCGTGTCCTTACAGCTGTCAGCATGTTTAATTGAAACTGACACTCAGTGTCATTTTATGGACATTGCCATGCGTTACCGTTACCAAAACTGTAGCTGTAATTCGACTTGCCTTAGTCCTGCTTGATTATTGCAGGACATTCCGAAAGGGGAAGTATCTTCTCTACTTCAAGTATATTCCCTTCTTTTGAGGTTTGCGTAATGCATTGCGAAGTACGTTTCTTTCTTGTTTGGTATATTAGTTAAATTTATGTCCTTGGAATTCCATGTCTTGCATATACTTTGGTTTTTTTTTTAGTTTTAAAAATGGTGGTCTAAGATAAAGTTAATCCATTAGGTTTGCTATCATTAAAGTTATCTACTTTATAGTAATGTTAATCCACTAGGATAACTATCATTAAAGTTATCTACTTTATAGTAAAGTTAATCCATTTGGATTATTAGTTCTTCTCGATCAAGAACTTAATTTATACAATATGTTTTGTAAATACAATAAAATCTCATCCTTAAAAACAGGAATTACAAATTTAATACGGTCTTCAAGTAATCCACACTGCCACTTCTGAGCTTTGACTTGACTGATGCCTGAATATCCATGTTGAATCTCCCATTTTACCATTACCCTTCCTTATCCGACTCTGCAGAACTTTAGCCCCAGCAACACTTAAACAAAAACCCCCCAAACTCACCCAAACTGTAATTATTATTGCTAAGCTCAGTCACCTCGTTTCCTTTCTGGAAACAGGAGAAACGAGCCCTCATTTAATTGCAGACTAGCAAATACTCAAGATATTTTTATGCAGGCAATTCGTATTTTTTCCGTTCAGCGTTTTTCCGACTTTTCGATAGGGGAAAAGACAGCGGCCTCTTTTGTTTTCGTCACGGGCGAGTGGCGAAAAGCAATCACGGCAGCTTCTTGCCAGGAAAAGCAGAAATATCTTTCGCCACATTTCTTTATTTATTTTTTTTTGCTTGCGCATTTTTCCAGGATGTCTTTTGTGTTATTGGTGAAATTAGAATTTCTCATTAAAATAAGTGTTGGCCGAGGGAGTCGCTTGACTTGAGACATTCAAATGTCTCCCAGGGCAAGGTGCTCGTCCATGGCAATGGACTTAAGTCCAAATTCCTATTTTCCCCCTCATTTTTTGTTTATGCTTGGTCACTCATTAGTTGAGCTTGAAATCTGACTGACGGAGTCTGGCATTTATATTTGTATCTTTATTTGTTTGTCTGGGAGTACGAGTTGTTTTCAGCCCTAATGGTTTTTCTATCCAATTGTATAAGGTTCTTTGTGAGTAATTAAAATGCAACTCTTTAACATTTTATATTCAACTTCTTAAGGTTTAAGTTTCTTATCTTGTTCATCTTCAAACGGTGGTGTATTAGTGGTCTAATAGGTTTAAAAACTGAAACACTTAGTGGTATTTTAAGGGTTACGGTATGGATACATTAAACATAATAAAATAACGTTCGGTCTGTTAGACTGATTAAATCCTTTTATAATTTACAATTAGTAACCGTCTGGGTATGATGCTCTTTTGAGTTTTTCACCCTTTTACGAAGAGAAAAATTACAAACATTTTCTTCATTGATAGGGAAATGATAAAAAAACTCTAATAAAACATAAAAAACAGATTTTTCCGTAAAAACACTGGAACAAGATATACAAATATATTCCCAATAATAAAACGTAAGCTACAAAGCTAAATGATTTATTTTATTTTGAAGAACGCTTAAATATTTACTTAAAAAATGTATTCATACTAAATAAAAATTTCCCAATTTTATGTATGTTTGTTTTGAAAATATTTTAGTATGTGTTCTGAGGTTTATTTTAAATGCCTTTCTTAATACTTAATTTAAATAAAAATGTTTCTTTCTAACCAATATAAAACTATACAAAAGTTTTATTCGATTGAAGTTATTTACACGTTGTTGGTTCTTCTGGTTAAAGAATACATTTTTTCTGTGCATTCTAGGGAATAGAACTAGCACCTCCGCCTTTGTATAAGCCAAACTTTCCGTTTTGGCCAACTTGTTCCATCCTGACCACTCTCATTGCACCACATGCATCCGCAGACATTTGATATGGGGCACAACATTGTTGCTACTTCGTTGTTTGAAGTGTGGGCAAAAGTTTGAGCTTTGAACTTCGGCTTGTTACATTCAAGTGGCTGCCATGTATAAATGTTTGCCTTTTAGATCCACAAAACTTTATGCAAAACACACGAAACTTTACTGAATATGGGCGAACTGTTTGCCGGTTTCAGTTTTCTGTTTTCTGTTATTGTTCTGTGGCTGTTTCTATTTCTGCATCATGTGCTCCTGACAAGCTGCGTAATTTCCACCGTCCCCGGATCTGCAATAATATAGATAAAATACAATTTCCTTAAGCAATTTTTGTTTTAATTAATTCTGTATTACTATTTTTTGTGACTTCTACGTGCCTGGAATTTCTCGCTTTGGCTTCTGTTTAATGTCTTCACCAAAAAAAATTTCGCCCCCTTAGGACTGCATTTAATTTTTCCCTTCCATTTGCTTTTTTTCTGCTTCATTTCTTTGTTTTGCTGTGCAGTGTAATTAGCCACCTTCTGACCAAGACAGCTGCTGATGCTCCTTATATTTTTGTACATTTTTTTCAATTCCCTGTTGTGCATAAAAAGTTTAGGTTGACATTTTGTAGCAACAGTTTGTAATTTTCTTACCCCTTTTTTCGAAGCATTACCATTTTTCCTTCACTCTATTTTCTTACTAATTTCTTGCTTTGTGCATTTTACTTGCAGACTGGTTAATTACATTAGGAAAACGGTTGAGTTTCTGTTTTGCATTTCAGTTTGTTATCCCTTCCGGAATTTGCAGTTGACATTATGGAAAGGTAAGACGTTCTTTAATATTTTTTCTTAAATCAATTTAAAAGTTTGCCATCGACATAAAAATACAAATGTTCAATTGAAACTTTCAGGTTTAAGTTTACAAAGTACTTAAGACTGACAATTACTATAATACTCATATTCTTAGAAATAATAAAGAAGATTTAAATAACCATACCTTTTTTCCTTATTATTAGTTAAATTCATCCTCGTTTAAGCTTATTTCATTGAAACCTTTAAATCTCTTCCACATCAAGGACTTTAAAATACTTTTACAAAATCTCGTCACTTGAGACAATTTAATCGATTTAAATTTAATGGTAACTTTATTACTTCTCCACATGCTCGATGTAACTGGATGCGGAATATTGTAACACGTGATTCAATTTCGTTCATCAATTTTAATTGATTGCTTCAATTGGTTTCTGTGCAAAAGCCTCTCATCCTTTCACCAACTGCAATCCCATCAAGATTTTTATGTCCATAGATACTTTATTTGCAGCTATTTCATCCTGTTTCGGCTGCTGTACTGTTTTATTTTGACGATTTTTATGCGTTTTTAATGTGTGTAGAGCAGCTACTCCTTTTATTTCCTTTCCTTTTTTTTTGCGATTCGGTTGTAATTCGATTCCTAAATGTATCCCAATTTTTATGTGTTTCTACAGTAAGTTTATAGCGGTATTGTTCGCATATGGGCGTTGGTATTCGCCCTCTTTGGATCGTAAAGTTTTCCGATTTAATGCATTTCGCGGAGCCTTAAAGTATGCCACACTAATTAGCATATGAGCTGCGGCTAGCTGAGCCGCAAACTTACAGCTTATCGCAAATATTCTCAAACCCCGATCCGATCCAGAACCAAATGGGCACCATCCATTAGCCATTAGCCGTGGGCCCGTCGTAAACCTAGGACAATATTGACGTAATCGACTTTCAGCTGCCGCCCGGCGACACAATTTAACCACAAATGAGGCCTAGCCGTGGGGCAATGTCACCGTCGCCGATTACTTCAAAGTCGCCTTTGACTCACCCCTCCACTGATTTTCCTATCGGAATTCCCATTCCCTAAAATCCCTCTCCAAATCCCATCACACATCACTTGGCCACAGCGCACCTCAAACAACCACAATTCGCAGGCGGATTGCATTTGTTTTCACATTTTGGGGTGAGACAATGGTTTACTTAACTTGAAACAATGAGAAATGTGAATTGACCGGAATGCGGTGGGGAAAACCACATTTGGTCGTAACAATCCTCTTTAGACTTCGGTTTACAAGTTAAAATTGATACTGTGCTTTAAAAAGTTAACTTCGTTTTGGAAAAATGCAGTAATAAATATTTAAGTATGCAAATCACATATAAATAATTTAATAAAATTTCTTAAAAATTATTTTTACAGTTTGATAGTTAAGTGATATATATTCTCCCCTTTTAAAAAAAAACTTCGACTTTTTAATCAGTATATAAAACCATCGAATAGAACAGTAAAAACAATAACCAATACAAATACCCTTACTTTTAATAGATTTTAGGTTATTTTTGACATTATTTTTTTTTCACACCAAACTGATTGTTATTGATTTTTATTTTTGGAATTAAATTTAATATGCAGATCTTATCAAAACTAGTCGCCCCTTAAGATAGCCTTGTATTTTGATTGCATACTTATTTTATTTTAATGTGGATAACTAAAAAAAATGTAAATAAATTTCGAAGACATTTTTAACTAATATCCAAAAAAAAGGGCTTTTTCCAACAAATTATTGGGCACTAAATTGGGCGCTAAATCCCAAAACAGTGCACTCATTTCTAAACCCTCCTACCCCTCGTTTCCATTATAATTAAGAACCCTCGCCTTGGGCCTTTTGAAGTATTAAACAGTGACGAGGCCAACGCCGTGAATTATGTTTCACCATAAACTTATGCACGATATACAGATGCTGGACATAAAAATTGTGTAAATGAAAATTGAGGCCAGTCAGCAGCAATAAAACATTGCGTCAAGTCTGGACCGGGATTAGGATATGGACCTGGATTTCATATCGTTCTAATGGAGGACGACACCCCAAGAAAACCACCGTGAAGATCTGTGTATTTAGATAAATAAAAATATGACAGCTGACACTAAAAAGGAGAGACGCACCAAGTACTCATCATAATTAATGCCGCGGGGTTGGGTCGCAATAAAACCCTGGAAGGATTCATATGGATAATTAAGTTATGGCGGGTGCCAACAGAAGGGTTAAGGTCTCCCCGCGAATGCAAACCCAATAAAATGATCGTAAAACTTTGGCCGAGCACTCAAAATTTTAGGAACATGTTTTTAAGGCGCATATTTTAATTTCAAGATGGATTTGGAAAGGACTTTAGGGGGTAGGGTTGGTCATAAAACAAAATACCGAGTGGACATTAAAAAATTTTCATCTTAATTTGTTTATTAAATGCACTTATTTTTTTACAGCTTTAAAATGTTTTAATCCAGTTACCAATTTTTTTTAATTTAGCAATAAACATAACTTTATATTTTGTTTTTAAAAAGCTAAAAGGTCAAAACGGAAAACTGGTTGGACAAAAATAATAAGCAAGGAATATGTGCTTTGCCCTAATATTTATTTCTTTTATTTGTTATTTTAATGTTATTATTTATCAAGACGAAACCGTCCATTAAATACATACATATCTGATTAATAAGATATATTTGATATCAGGTATTCTATTGGCTTTAATTACTTTTTTTTCCTCATTACTTGAAATTGATTTCGAGTGCTTGGAAATTGACTTGAATCGTTTCCTTCCCCAATGTCCCAATCTACCATAAATAAAAATCAACCCACCCCAATATCCACCACCAATCACTGGGTTCAACAATCTTCGAACCCCTTCTTCCAGTTCCAATACCAACAAGAAAGGAAAGCTAACTTCGGGCGGAGCCGAAGTTGATATACCCTTGCAGAATACTCTGTAAATTATATTCTCCAAAATTATTCATATGATGCATTCTTAATACTCATAAAAAATCCCAACTTCCTAACTTGACAAACACCAAAGTTATGGCATTTCCGATCAATCAGTTATATGGCAGCTATAGGATATAGCCGGCCGATCCCGGCCGTTCCGACTTATATACTGCGTGCAAAGGAAAGAAGGGTGTGCAAAGTTTGAATTCGATATCTTTAAAACTGAGAGACTAGTTCGCGTAGAAACAGACAGACGGACAGACAGACGGACAGACGGACAGACGGACATGGCTATATCAACTCAGGAGGTGATCCTGATCAAGAATATATATACTTTATAGGGTCGGAGATGTCTCCTTCACTGCGTTGCACACTTTTGACCAAAATTATAATACCCTCTGCAAGGGTATAAAAACCATATCAGTTGGCTGATAGAACAAACTTTTATGCGCTTGTTAACAAAAGCGTGAAATTCAATGCCCGGGACGAGCTGAAGAGTATAAAAAATAAGAGTAAAATTTACGACACTCCGAATTAAACTTGATTTTTATTTAAATAAATTGCATTTTATATTCCACCCCCCTCCGTGCCTGGCACAATAATAAGCAGGCAACGCTCATAATTTGCACCGGAATCCGATGATGATGCCGGCGGATAATGGTGATACGGGAGTGTATGTATTTTCCTCAGGATAAGACTGACTGGCGACGGTTTGGTTGCTGGTTGCTGGTTTCTGGCTGCTTTATGCATTTTTATTTATTACAGCGCCAGGAAATGTTTGTTGATTTTCCGCTGCTCGGCTGGCACAAAAAAAATCAACTCCAGCCAGAAATTATTTTCTAGACGAACGCGCCCCAAAAAACATAAAAATGAGCAGGCAGAAAATACTCCAAATTGTACAGAAATCTTTTTTTATATATCATTAAAAACGGAAATGTTATGCGTCGCAAAGCAGCGCATCCGTTTTAAAAAGAACCAAGTGAAACGAATTGATAAAATTGTGTTCAAATATTTCTGAGATGGAATGAAAGGAAGCACACTCCGGCAAGCCGAAATGTATATACCCTTGCAGTTATTGCAAAACGACAACATATTACTAAAATCAATGAAGCTATGCCGATTTTGAGCTGTATATACTTTATAGGGTCGGAAATGTCTTCTTCGCTGCACTGCAAACTTTGGCTAAAATTAAATTACCCTTTGCAAGGGTATACAAACTTCAGTCATAAAATACGAAAAATATAAAAGAGGTTAAAGACACGTCGGTAATCTTAAACAAATTAATTGAAGGAATTAATTAATAACGAACAAAAAAAAATATATAAATAATATAATAAATAAATATATGCGTATATGCTTGTAAAAAAAGGGGGAAAGAAACAAGCTGATGTTTATATCCCCATGCTGTCATAAATAAATTTGATTAATTAATTTGTTTATTTGTCCAAAACTTCATTAATTTTAATAAATATTAGATAACTTTTTAAAATTATTCTCTTTGCTTCTCTTTAAGATATGGATATGGTTTCCCGAAAAGAAAATAATGGCGTAAAGTAGTATATAAATAATTAGTAACTTTATTGAACAAGTTAACAGACTCTTAGCTATCGATATTCTTCACTCTACAAAGATAGGGTTCCACGGTGTGCAGGGTGATCACGAAGTTGAGCTTCATTTTCACCTGTCGTTCGCCGAGGGGCTCAAACAGGAAGTTCCTCAGCAGGTGGGCCAGAACCATTTTGAGCATCACCATCGCATATCGCTGGCCCAAACAACTCCGTGCCCCCGTCATAAAGGGTATGAAAGTGGTGGCCTCAATCTTGGGCTCCGCTCCACTGGACCAGCGATCCGGCTTGAAAACCAAAGGATCCGGAAAGAAATCCTTGCAACGTCCCATGTAAAGAGGGGAAATGATCACATCGCTCCCCTTGGGTATGAAAAACTCATCTGAAAGTGCCAAACATTCAAGTCATAATAAATATTTGTTTGCTGGGAATTTTACGTAGTGTGTATTAATGTTATTTAGACATTTATATTTATCTTTAAATTAATATTTTTTAAATGACTACAAATATTCAATAAAATTAAATTTTTGTATTTAATTATATAAAAACCTAATTTAAAGTCCTTTAATAAACCAAATATTTTCAATGAACTTGACACACAATTGTTGAAAATGAAACAATTATATCAATTTTAGAATGGTAAAGACAGTTTGCGGTATAAAATAAATTTCTATTAAATTTAGTTGTAATAGTGATATAAAATTAAAGTACAAGTGTACTTACTGATTTGGCAGTTGGCTGTGGCTCTTCTTGCTGTAAGTGGACCCGAAGGATACATGCGCAGTGTTTCCTTAACGCAGGCTTCGAGGAACTCCAGTTGACGCACCTGCTCCATGGAGATGGGTTCGCTTCTGTCTGTGCCACACACCGACAGCACCTCCTCTCGACAACGCTCCTGGTATTCCGGATGAAGGGTCATGTTGTACATGAAGAACTTGAGGGTGGTGGCCGTGAGATCAAAGCCACCGAAGATAATGGTATCCACTTCCTCGCGAATGTCCTTGACCGACAGGGGTTGACCATCAGGTCCCTTTGCAAGGAGCAGGCTATCCAGGAAGCAATGTGTTGTCCTACCTTCCTCATTTTCCGCATTCTTAGTGCTCTGCGAGTTGCGATTCTCCGCATCCTGGCTAATCTCATCCATTCGCTTCTGGATAATGCCCTCCGTAAAACCATGAAGTGTTTTCAATAACTCCTGTTCTCGTTTAAAATGCAATGTTCGCCGGAAAATAAACGGACTGCGATATAAGATGTTTTTTAGTTTCGTATCGATGATCAGAAGGATTCTGAAAAAAAATATAAAATTAGTTATATTAGTTGTTTTCTACAAAAAAAGTTTATTTTATATGCTTTAAATTTGTAAAAATGGTTCAAATAATACCAAATTTTTTTTATTGCATACTATATCATAAATTATTTATGGTTGCAGAATTGCACCACTTGGCAATATGTAGGTGTGACCCAAATGTGAAATATGACACATTAAATATTTATAATCTACACGAGGTAACTACATTTTATGGGATAAAAGGGTAAACTGGTAATTCTATGTATGAACAAATGTTTGTTTTCTTTCACTAATGTGTGAATTATCTAATAACTTATCTCATTTGCTGAGTTGTAAAAAACTAGATGCAAGTTTTGGGGTGCAGGTTTTTCGGCATAAATAAAAATAACTTACTCGTTTACAGCATCGAGGTAGTCCGACTTTGCATTCGATTGGGAACCCACAGAGACCCCGAGGGCCGTTTCACAAATAGTGTCCAAGGTGAAGCAACTGATCAGCTTAAGGAAATCCATTGGCTCCCCGGACTCAGCAAACTCAGAAACTCTGGACAAAAGAATCCGTGACTGCTTCTCGAAGACATCGACAAACAACTTGACCATCGCATAATTAAAGGCTGGCATGATGATCTTCCGGCGATGGGACCACTTCTCGAAACCACTGGTGAAGAGTCCTTCGCAGAGCCAATTCTCGAATACGGCATAGTCGGCGGTCTTCTGCAAAAGCTGTTGGGCACTACACAGCGCCTGGATGTCCTTGGGATTGCAGTCCAGTAGGTAGAGCTTGGTGCCCATCCACAGCTTTCCGCGATGATCCTTCAGATGGTTGGTCACCATTTCCGTGGCACGGCGAAACGGATGTGGCCCCACCAATTTGGCCAGGATGTGGAGATGGCCAATGATCGGAAGGGCCGGTGGACCTGGCCAATTGTGGGTGAGCCGGTCAATCCTGCTCTGGCGCTCGAAGACATATAGCAGGTATAGGGTAAATGCGATTAGGAGGAGACCGAATCCTAGCCAGAACATCGCGGCGGAGGTTCTAGATAGTAACTGCCTCGTAACGACGTCGCATCGAGCGTTTTAAGCGGAACACGGACGCAGAGTTAAGATTGTTACTATAGGGTCACCGGACCCAAAGGTCACAAAAGTTGGCTGTAAAGCGGATTTACACTCGGAAAAAAAAATAATGATCGCAGCACAATCTAAAATTCGCATAGTTCACGCTTAGACATTTTTTAATTTGATAGTTATTAATTCATTTTCTTAAAACAATACAAATGTTTAAATGTTTAACTTCTTAACAGTAAATGTTTTAACTATTGTTTATTTTTTATTTTATATACTATTTATGTATCATGTATTATAATTATTTAACATCTGTCTTTGGCTTAAATGGTTAACTATAATTATTTGCTAAATATTTAATTTTGAGAAAATACAATTAAAAAAAGTTATTCGGTAAAAACTATTTGCACTGTCAAACCATTTTTGCGTTTCAACTGAATAATTCTCAGAGCACACATGGATCATTTTGTTCTTATAAATAAACAATAACTATTTTAATGAAGATCCATGAAATATTTTTTTATTGTCACTAGCAATTTAAAATCACAATTTAAGAGCTTTGATTTTTTACAAGTGCAAGAACTAAACGATCTTTAAGTTTTGCGCTTGGTTTTATATTGTGAAATGCACCGATTAAGAGCAACTGTCAGGTCGACAGCGGTATTAACACTGCGCATATTTATTTATACGAAATTCGTACACCCCAATATGTATATTATAAGCGTATTCAAATCGATGCGGCTGCGAAATTGAAGTGACTCTTTTTGCTCGCCCCCAGCCATTTAAGTACTTAACATCAGCCAACGGAGATGTAAACAAAACATTATGAATCAGAACCTAGGATTTCTTAGTCGTATTCGAAATGCTCTAGGACAAAAGAATAGCCAACATGGGGTTTTACCAAAATTTAGAAAATATAAGTCCTATAAGTAAATATTTTTCAAGATATGTTTTAAAAAAGATTAGCTTTTTAAGTTTCTAACCATCTACTTAACACAAAAAAAGGAAGATTTTTTGTTAGTTTCTTGTAAATTAAATGTAAATTGAAACCTTGATAAATATTTTTAAGTCCGAAAAATAGAAGAAAACTTACACTAATTTAGTATGCCCCAATGGTTTGAGACTATTTTTACGTCGAAATCCCACTATAGTGTTTTATTTTTTTGTTACGTCTAACTACGTTTCATCTCTCAACTCAAGATTCGTCAGGCCAAAAATTAATAAACAAACCCTCTTCAATTTTGTCGATGCTTTTTTGTTATTTGATTAATTTTAATTTCGATTGTTCTTCTGTCGATTGCATACAAATTTCATAGAGCTCATAAAACTTGACGGGTGGTTGGGATGGGGCCACCCAGCTACGGATATACGTGGAGAGAAATTGTGATTTTAATTAACTGAGATTGTGTTTCCTTGTGAGAATATTGAAAACAACAAATATGGCTAAAAATGGGAAATAATTAAAAAAATTATAAATTCTGAATTCTTTAAATCTGGAAATAAAAATTGTATTAGTAAATACCTAAAAAAAAGTAAGCGAAGCTATGTAATCAAGCCAATGCAGTTAATATTCTCTGAAAAAAATTAACACAAATTTACAATTATCTGATTCATCAGTTAAGAACAAACAAAACTATGCAAATACTTTAGCTACACACATTAATAATAAAACAGTGCGTCATATTTGTCAATTATATAATGTCTGCTTTATTTTCATTTATTACGCATAGAATAAACATTCATTTAAATTGGCTCTCCAGCCATAGGAACTCTATTATGATTGTCATTTAATACACTCTTCAGGAGTTTGTGTTGTTGGTTTTCCTCTCGACCAACTGCCATTCAATTCATTTTTATTTTTTTCAAATAGTGACAAGTACAACAACCAAGGCAATTCCCCTTCGCCATATTTACACTAATTAACACGAAAAGTTATCAGACGACAAAAAATACAATAAGAGGACAAGAATAATTGTAATTAAACCGGAAGGGACTGGGTTGAAAATAATATTTGCTGGTCAACAATTCATACAAAAATAATTAATCCTTCACTCTTATACTCGTAAATATCCGTTCCTCTCTCTTCCGTCATTACAGAAAATATTTATTAAAATGAAGGGACAAATGAATGGCATAAGAGTCAGCTTAATTAAAGATATTTTAGTGAGTTCAGGTTTCAGATTTTCAAAAACAAAAACTGTTATAATAAATAGGTAAACTATTACATGTTCACCTAATACATGCTTATTGAGAATTTATGAATGAATTGTACAACCCAAATTCGATTAAAGTTAATTAAAGAGAAATATAAAATAAATTCATGGGGAATAAAATTCCTTGATTGGAAGGAAGGAATGATAAAATTGTATTTTTTGGCCTAGCAATGAAACATATCGTATTAACCAAAGAATGGCACAAAAAACTGTATAAAACCTTTAAAAGAAAAAATGTATTTTTAGTAAAACTTAATTAATGGAAGTTAAGCACAAAAAGGCAAAAATAAAGTGGATTTTGTATGTAAAATAATATCTCTTACTACTTAAAACGGCAATTGAAACACAACAGAATTTTACTGAATTAAATCATTTGTTAATCCTAATTTTTAAAAATATTTCAATTTGCCAAACAATGCCTCTATACAAATTCAATTCAATGGCATTGGATGCCACTAATCAGAACTAACTGGACAAAGCACGACAATAACCCTTTGAAGTCGAGGCGAAGCCAAACAATTGCTTTCGCGTAAATTCCCCTATCTAATGGATGCCAATAAACAGCGATCAGCACTCGCACACGAACACTAACACGAACATCCTGCGTGGCATATAAGGAAATAATACAGTTATGCACCTGACAGGACCAAGAACATTGTCTCGGTTGGAAAATTAAAAGTGATGCGTGGTTGGCCGAGGAGGTGGGGCTCTTAAAGGGGGGGAGTGCGGAGAAGGGCTTCATCGGGTTGATTTTGACTGGGTGGAAGTGGGGATAAGGCAGTTCAAACTAATTTGAATTTATGCAGCAAAATGTTGACCACCCCACCGAGTACACTTTACCTTGCTCTGGGCATAGATGGTTTTATGTCAACGATTTTTATGGTTACAAATCTGTATTATAATGTTGTATTGGAAAAAACTGTGACTCTTTATTTGTATGTTTGATTCGATAGGAGCTAGAATAATAGTTTTGGTAGCATACTTTTTGTTTCACCCACAGTTTAAAATATCTTAAGACAATACTTTTGTTTGTATACAAGTGTCACCTTTCATATCGGATAAATGTTTATTAGATTTTCATTAACTTCTCTAATATTTGCCAAGTAGAAAGTATAAATAAATGGATATGAATATATATATAAGAAAAAATTTCCCACCTTCCCCAACCCACTACAATGCAATTTAAATATAATATATAAACATAAACAAATTTTAATAGTATTTAAGTGTTGTAAGTTTATTAATTTTGGGACTTTAAAACTAATCAATCTTTTTACCAGAACAAGTTATTTGGTAAGAGTATTTAGTCATCGAATTCTTAATAACCCGATCATCCCCTCATTATGGTTGTTTGTGGGCATTGGTGTTCTGTAATTAAACTGCATATTATCGGCCACGGCACACTTACACACACATGCACGAGCACTCAACCACTCAGAGCCACCCACCCACACACCCACCCACCACATGTACCACATAATTATGCAGAAATTTCCAAGTCGTGGGCGAGGGGATTGGATGGGTCAGGGGGTCGTGGAAAGATACGCCCAGCTGTCACTTTGAGCTCTGCTTTTGTGTAAAATTTAATTTGGCTACATTTAATTATTGTTTATGTAAGGCTTGTCGCTGTCGCTGTCGCTGCCATTGAATATTGTCATATTATAAACAATGATAATTTGCCAAATGCGAAGCGATTGGCTAATAGATATCTGCTAGTATCTCCGTCTCTTAGCCAAAGCAAATTGAGCCAAGCCCAAAGGGCAAACCGCAAGTGGACAAAGTATAAGTACACACTAAAAAAAGTAAAATAATTTATTAAATAGTAATAGCCCAAATAACATAAATATTCAGTGAATAAACTTTTAAAGGTATGTTTAAGTTATTACTTTGTTTTATCAATAAAAAAAAGCTTTGATCATAAAAATTGTCGGTTGTTTTTTTTGTTGCAGAGTGTAGATAATAATTTCTTTTAATTTTTTAATTAAATAATAAAATAGTTAATTTATTTAATTTTTGTCAATCTAAATTTTTGATAAAATCTGAAAAATATTTCTATATATAAGGAAACATATTTTAATTGTCTAACTTATATCCCTTACTTAGTTTTTTTATTTAAAACAGTCATACCCAAAAAAAAAAAACATTTTGAAAGAATTAAGAAACCAAAATTTATTTTCTCGCAGTGCATAACTCGTGCACTAATCGCATGTTGTGTCAACATTAATCGCATCAAATTTAATTTTACAATTAAATGCAAAGACGCGATGCGTTTAGCATAAATTAAGCAGGCTGTAAATGGAAGCCGCGGGCGGTGTCTTTCACTTTGGCTCCTGCTCCTGCGGTCTTTGCTATTTTCCTGAGGTGTTGGAGGTGGTTTTGGTTTGGGCCGAACATCGCCCTTCCTAATGAAAAAATTCAAACACCATTAAAGACTCCGCTGTTGCTTCCGTTTCCGTTTCTCAGACAGAGTGTGAGTTCAATCGGCTGGCGAAACACGCGTATTTATTGCTTCAACTTAATTTAATTGACAACCCAATCTAAGGATTCATTAAGCCTGGGGAATTAAATGTCTTTAATTAGCGAATGTTGATTCAATTAGTTCAATTCTGCCTCTTAAAACTCATTATAATTATCATGGTTTTGGGCAAGGCTTATAACAAATGTTTAAAATATCTTTGATTTTCAGATAGTTTTTTCTAATAAGGGCTTTTAGCATTAGACAAGTTCAGTTTTAAAGATAACAAACTAATAAAGGTTAATCTCTATAAACATATTTTCATTTGCAATGTTATTGCTCTATTGAAATCAATAAATTTATTCTTAAAATAGTTTCAAAAGGCTTACAATAAGATTATATTGTGACCGTTTTCCCAAGATTACAATTTGCCAACTCATTATGCCTTTGTGTGTACTAAATGGGTGTCAAATCTAGATATAAATAAATATGAAATTGAAGGTCCAATGGCATTAGTTGTTAAATTCAATTGGCTCTCATAAAAAGCTATTGTTAAATCTTCTCTTCCATCAATAGTAAAGAACCAGTTTATTTGACCCACTAATTCAGCTAACAATTAGTTCATAACACTTTATTGTATTCAACTTCATGTGAATTTACCATCTTTAGGAGCAAATTGTTATTAAGACTAAATTTATAGAAGGCAATTAGGTTCATAATTAATTTAATTAAAGAAAATACCAGTTTGATATACAACAAATTTTCAGCTGCTCGTGCAATTTTTTATGATATCTGAATACTGCAAAGAGGAAAAATTTTAATTCGAAAACCAATTTAGCATAAATAATCTTAACAATCTAAACTTACCTTTCAGTATGACTTTTTTGTCCTTATTAAAACCTCTAAGTTTTCAATCATGTCATTTATCCCGATCAAAATAATGTGCTAACATTTTGAAGAAACCTTAAACTTAATCAGCCCCATCTAGCCCCAAAGGTTTTAAGCGGCATTTATAAAGTAAAAATAATAATTTTAAATTACCTTTTTTGAGCCTCATGCTTGGTTGCCCCTACAGTAATGAAGTCTTTTTTCTCTTTTTCTACATCGCGTTTTTGTTGGGTTTTCGCTGCTTAACCTTCGAGGCGCAAAATGTTTTGTATAAACGAGCACTTACATATTTCTTTTCACATACTCTTCTTGATACTGGAGTCACGTAATTATGGAAGAGAATTAAATCTCTAAAATAGTTAATATATACTTTATTAATTCTGGAAATTATGCAAGCAAACACTACAAATTTCCAAGAATATATTTTGACATGCAATACAAATTGGTATTTTAATTATATTTTATGTTTATTTTGAATCCAATACTTTAAGCTATAGCATTTTTCAATAAATTAGTTTATAAAGTTTATTTATTTGCTAGTCCCAACTCATAAGTTTTTTCTTAATTTAAGTTCCAGAAGTTATACATTTTGTAGAGTATACAAAATTCGTCGTTAGTTAATGTATTTAATAGTGTTGTTTTTTGGACAGGGCGTTGTTGCAACTGAAGGACAGCGGCAACTGCAATTTGAAGGCAAGCAAACAAATGAATTCTGGGAGGCGAAGTCAGAGCGGTGTGAATATTTTTTGCAGCTGTTCTGAGCGGAGTTTCCAGTGGCACAGACAACTCTCAATTACCCCTTACTTATAACCCCAACTTGTTGGCTCCATTTCTTGGGGCTGCACTTAAAATAAAAAGTGATCCATATATTCAGCACGGGACAAAATATAAATAACATTTTTATTTATTATTAAATTAGAATTTGTTGTCGTTAAATTAATCAAATTATAATGCAATATAATTTGTCTATTTTAAAATGCATAGTCATTTCATTTTAGCAATTTCTTTGGTTTATGGTAATTATGGCTAGAAGTCTTAAAATATTACATTTTTGACTCGCAATCTTTCCTTGCTTGGAAAAAGTGTATATTATGTTTGTCACTTTGACATAGTTTTAAGGTTATTTTCCTGTCTTCGTTGTCATGAAAAAATCTCAGAAATTAATAAATATTTTGACTAATTCGTAATTTCCCGTTTCTTGTTATATTTTTGGCCAGTGCCTAGTGGAATATCTAACTTGGCCGTTAGTATTGGCTCGCTGGTCAACCTCAAGATTGCAGTTAGCAGTGGCAATTGCCTCGACTTCTCGACGGTTGCACTTCGCTTGACTGCAATTTGGCCAAGTTAAGCACGGGAAAAAGTTGTCTCTGTTCTTGTTGTTACCTTTAATTTGAGTACGTTTTGGTGTTGCTTTTATCTTGTTTTTGTTTTTTTGGGTGATTGTTGGCCACGGCTAAGTCACGTTCCGATTGCGCATTTATTGCACTCAACTTGCCGTCCGGTTGGTTAAGTTTCTTGGCCAAAAAGTCCCCCTCCAATTGCTGGCTCCTTTTTTTGGCCATTGCAACATTTGGCTGCCCGCAGTTGGCAGGGTCAGACGGGCTTTTATTTTTTAACCGCGTTGCACTGTGGGCCTCTTTGGTGCAATCATAAATCTGTCAGCGGTGAACCGATGACCTTTCTACCTGCTCGATAAGCGCTCAATTTGCAGCTGTCATGAGGATCGTAAATACATAAATATTGAGGAAGTCGCTTAAATATTTACTGTGCCACTAAGTGGCCTACGTGACGGGCACGCGTCTTACCTTTCTGGTGTAAAAGTAAAAATTTGGCTTTCTTTTAGAAAATAAAAGTAATCATTTTAAAGCAGAAAGATCTCTACATGTTTTTTTTACATTATACATAAGTACTTTCTATATAAGACTAAAAATGTATGTTGGACACTTGACCGTTCTGAAAAATATACGACTATTGAAAGGGGCGTAGAAACCCTATATAAACACTAGTTTTACACACATGCTGCACATCCTTTTCGGTGGAAATATGACAAGAAACAGGGCTCTAGAAAATAATTTCAAAGAAGTAAATAGGCATGTTTCATTAAAATATTATATTATGTACATATAATTGTTAAAAAAAAACAAATTTGTATTACACCAAATAAAATAGAAAAAAAATTTGGCCCAATTTAAAAAAAAGTTTTGTTTGATAATTTATATATGTGTTATCAAATGCGTAAGAAACTATAAATTATTTTTCTTGTTTTTTTTTTGTATTGAATGTTAAAAAAAATCTTTCTCATATGTAAATATTTATTGGCAAAGTATTTTCGTGGATATAATAGATACTAACATTCAATCTATTCACTCTATTTACTCAGAGAATATTAGTTCACAATGTGCCACACTAAGTTGGCAACCATTCCCTATCTCAGGTCATTAGCCCCTTCGGGTAATCGAACCTGTAAGTCGTCCAGTTTAACTCAGTATAAATGACTACGATCTTACGTGTGTAAGTAAGTGACTTGTGCTCAGTGTTCGCTTTAATCAAACCTTTTTATACCCGTTACTCGTAGAGTAAAAGGGTATATTGTATTCGTGCAAAAGTATGTAACAGCTAGAAGGAAGCGTTTCCGACCCTATAAAGTATATATATTCTTGATCAGGGTCACTAGCCGAGTCGATATAGCCATGTCCGTCTGTCCGTCTGTCCGTCTGTCCGTCTGTCTGTCCGTCTGTCTGTCCGTATGAACGCTGAGATCTCGGAAACTATAAAAGCTAGAAGATTGGCATTTTGCATGCAGATTCTAGGAGTTCCTACGCAGCGCAAGTTTGTTTCAAAAAGGTGCCACGCCCCCTTTAACGCCCACAATCGCTTATATACGATACATTTAAATATTTCGGAAAAGTAAAAATGCAGTTTTATTGTGTTTATCAATACCTATCGAAATGTAGAAGAAATTTTTCAAATCGGACCATTCGTTTAAAAGTTATGCGTGATCAAAGTTTCTATCTCCATCTCCCTCGCACTCCCTTTACCTGAGTAACGGGTATCTGATAGTCGGGGCACCCGACTATAGCGTTCTCTCTTGTTTTAAAACGAGTGGATGGACAGTTGTGGTTGCGACTGGCCGCAAACAATTAGCACCAGCAAACGTAGTACAGTGGGTGCTAAAAGGCTGGGAACAGGTACGTTTCTACCGATCTCTCTGATAAACCCAGATCTCTCGGGAAATTTGGAGAGCCTCTCCGAAACAGCTGTACCTGGGTTTTTTCTACCTAAAAACCTCTCTCTAAAATCCCCCTCTCTAAAAATCTCTCTTTTCAAAAACCCTCTCCCGATCAGCTGATCGAGCGGGCCTAGCTTTAATGCTATATCTTAAAACCGCTTCAGTTCAGTGGCACTGCAACTTTTGGACGCTTCGGACGTATTCGTTGCTCTTGGGAAAATTATTACCTGTGGCATTCGCGTGTGTTACCTGTACCTGTATTTTGGATTTACAGTTACTAACAAGTTATGTGCGCTTGAATGCCAAATTTAATTGCCGCTCTTTGCATGTTGGCCAGCTGTAATTTGAAAACGTTTTCGAAAAGCGAGTAAAAAAACGACTTTCTGTTTTCACCCCCCTTAACTTTCATTTTTCTTGCTCGTCGTCGGCTTGCCATTGAAAAAAGTGTCAAAATCCAGGTGCTAACCAGCCATAAAATACAATAAAATATCTGAAAAAAAAATATATTAAGTTGTGAAACGCGTGTGTGACTTGGTCAATTTTTGGATTATGGCTCTCATGGACACCGCCTGGCGCTGCCGCCTCATGATCTTCGCCATCGTCTCCCTGCTGCTAGTGGGCGATCTCTTCGGATATGGCGGCGGCATGAAGTCCAACCACCCCGATCCGCACTCGGTGAGGTCGGGGGGCGGAGCGGGGGCGGGTGGTGCCCCAACGGGTCCGGCGGCTGCGGCGGCCAGCAAGTTCCAATCGAAGAATGCTGAAATCGATATAACTGAAGGTTAGTTTTGCCATCCCAAATTGCTTTTTGTATCCATTTTGCCATTTTTCATTGACAAAATTTTTTACTCGCATGTGTTGACAAATTTTGCAATTTTTATTTCGAATTTCGGAAATACAGGTAGATCCACATAATTGGAAACTTGAATCTTCTTAGTGTATTTCTTTTCTGTACAATTTAAAAATTACCTATCGCTAAACATTTGTACCTACTAATTATATAAATGTATATTTAAAAGAAAAATCATTCTTGCAAAATAATCACAGAGTCAAAAATATAATTTTCTTTTTCATTTTTGTCGTCGTTAAATTTAATTTCGTATATCATTTTTCAATGTCTTGGTCCATAGAAATTTTAATATTAAATAAGATTTAATTAAATAACTTTTAAATAATCTATGATTTCTTAAGATGGGTTTCTGTTACGAAATTGGGTTGCAAAAAAAAGTGTTTGCATTCTTTTATTAATGATAAACCATAATCAATTTGAATGATATTAACACTGTTAAAATCAATACACTCCTTATTTCGCCCACTGAAATCATGTTTTGGAAATTTTTTGTTTAAATTTGTTGTTATACATACAGCTTGCGTTTGTATTTGGTCTTATCAAGGTTAATTTCGTTTTATAAATGGAGGTTTATAAGTATAAAGCGCTGAGGGCACGTGTAAGCTTCAATTCGGGTTTAAATGCTTAATTATTTTTTTTTGTTGGTGGCTTGGTAGGTGAAAACCGGAACTGAGCCCGGGGAGACTAATGTACGATTGTTTATTACGCACGTGTAGCTCAACTTAAAAAAGTTAATGTTGTCGATTTGGCAAATACATTAAGGGTACGAGAGGTTATAATTTATTTAAAAAAAATGTGTACTTGGACATACCTACTTTTATTAAGTTTTTTAAAGCGAAATGTAAGTACTTTGTTTAGGTAGTAAACATTTAAATGCTTTTGACCTAATGGGGTGGGTATTACTAATAGTACAGAGTGGAATTTCTAATATATTAAAAACACATTTTGTGTTAAGGGGTTCGAGCAAATACACGATAAATCCGCGAATGCTTTTAAAACTTTTCCCAAAGCCAATTTCGTAGGTCTAGGAAATGTTTTGGAAATTTAAGTACCTTAACTTTAACGTTGTCTGGCATATCAAACAGATACTCCAGACAGCAAAAGTTTCCATTAACAACAGAGTCATTAAGTTTTTTATGATCTAGCTTTTGAGGAAAGTGACTTTATTTCTTGAGTACTTTATTTGAATTGTTAGCGTTGATAAGTATTTATTATTTGAAAACAAGTAACCATGCTAGACTTTAACGAATGAACTGCCAATTTTATTAAAAAATATAATTATAAATTCATGAAATTCTTACTGGAACTAAGTTGAATAAATAAATTAAAATTAGAACATTCTTAAAACCTTACATGTATTCCTATTTATCCAAACCAAATGCACAACAGTCGGTAATTTATTCAAATGATTATTCAACGCAATCGAAGTTCATGTCCAAAACGATCGTTCAAGAGCTTTCAAAGGCGATTCGAATACACTTCTTCGTCGCCACTTTCTCGTTGATTTGCATACACAATATCGAACCCTATCGTATGACATAACATTGGGCATTGCACAACAAATGTCGTGGGTATGGGCCAAACCGGAAAAAACACTCAATCAAATGTGTGTAGAGACAATAAAACTTTAATGAAGTCAAAGGAAAGTCGAGGGCTTACTGGATAGGAGGTAGTTTTTGTTTCATGCTAACTAGGAAATGGAACTCATAAAAATACAGCAGTCTCAGGGAATTAAGTCAACTATTAAGTCTTCCGATTTTTCTATTCTTTCTTGCATATCTTTTGACCTTACTTTCAAGGTACTACTTTACAGTATCAATTAAAATAATTGTAATACATTTTTAAATAATAATTTAAGACCTTAATAATATTTTTATATATTTTTGTTTATGTTAAATTAATAAATAAACATGTGAGAGCTGAGAAATTAAAGTATATTGACTTTGAAGTTTTGCTTATTATTTAAGACCAACAAAGAAAAATTTGTTTAGTCAATTTTTTTTTCGCTGGTCTTAACTTCTTTAAATAATGAGGTAAATACCCGAAAAAAGTAACGTTTTTCTGTGAAACCACCCAAGTTTCTGTATCATGACTGAGAGCAATATCACCCAAACCATTTCACAGTTCATTAAGATGGCTGAAACCATCTCCAAGCCATTGGAAGTTGGTATTTCTTTTGTGTTTCTCGAGGTGAAAGTGGAAAAATGCCAAGCAAATAAACTTGACGTAATAAAACTCCAAGCGCACAACAAGTATTCGCTTTGCATGTTGAGAGGGGGTCTTAAATTGCATCGCAACTTTCCCAGAGAGTAGCAGTTCATTAGCGTGGGCCAAGTGTAAAAGCCAAGGGAAAATAGGGTTTTCCTCTCAATATTCCAGTTTCGTCAGTGGCGTCTAGACAGATTCGCTGCTGCCACTATATAAACTCAAAGTTTATCATTCTAAGTTGCTTGCTCAAACAGGAAGTGATGAAAAACTTGACTTGATTTGTGACATTTAATTTATCGAACTAAGCCAAGACACCGGCTTGAGTTTGGGCTTGGGCTTGGGAAACATTCAGCCATATGTTCGACTGTAACCGGTTCCGCTTCCAGACGTAATCCGTTCCAACTGAAGAAGTTGTCTGGTCTAGAAACGAGCTCAACGGAAATCGAGAGTAAAGTCGTCTCACAAACGTTGATAATCTCGGTGTTTGAATATTCACATTAATCGCTTGTAAATGCCACTCACTTCCACAAAGAAGTAGCACGTGCCCTTTTCAAAGCCGGTGAAAATAATCTGAATTGACAATTTTAATATCTCTCCACGTCTTTCTGTTTTGTCCAAAAATGAATAAAAATGAGGGAACACTTTGCCGCAACCTTTAGCTGATAAATGCAGTGCGTGACAAACATGCCGAGCTTGCACTTTGTATTTATTTCCATTCAATTACGTGCACTTGAGAAGCAAATTGATTTCAGCAATGGAGTCGCCTTAATTGACTCGAAATTTGTTGTATCGCTTAAAGAAGTGAATTGTTAGCAGTTTGAAAGAGTCAAGTTCAATGGATAAAGCCATTTACAAGAACAGGAAAATGGTTCCTGCTTCTCAATTAAATTAAGTACTGTATTAATTTAATGGGTATAGCGCGAAATAAACCTAAAATTATTTTCAATAACAATATAGTTTTGATCAAAATAGATAAAATAAAATATCAAATTATGAATTCATTTAAATTGAATCAAACTTTAACTTTAACTTGAATATGAGAAACTTAACTTTAAACCTGAATTAGAGAAATAATATTTCTCGTCAACTAATTAACTATTTTATTCGGTTCATAAAAAATGGGTCGCTGCTTTTAAATTGTTTTAAATAGAAACCAGTTAACTGATATTCCCAAAAAAACAGTGATCAATTTTATTTTATTTCTTAAAATTTAACAATTTATTCAGCTGAGTCATGCCTGACTGCAATTCTAGTCAAATAAACTTTCGAGTGGGAAAGAACCATAAATTGAAAACTTGTTATCAGTAACGAATAAATTGAACTTTGTATTTTCACACCGCGATAGGGATTTTGCATTCTAAGTTCCGCATTTAAAGTTAAAAGAAACGACAAAACCAGATGCCTTAGTTGGCGGTAACATAATGAATATTCGACTGGATACCATAATTAATAAAACTGAGCGTTGAATGACTGAACAAATATTCAAAGTAAAGTTCAACGCATCGACTTGGCCTTGTTCGGGGCATGAGAGTCGTTGAAAAAAGTGTTGGAAACATTCGCAACAGCTGATCGACCGAATATAGCCAACCAAATATTTGGCTTACTCACCGCAAATATGCACTCGAAAAAAATAAACAGAAATACGCTTTCCACACTCTCAATTTCTACCTATATTTGCACATTTGTTCAATTGTTCACAATGTATCTTGCCTTTTGTTGACATTTTGTTCTAAGCATCTATTAGTTATTAGTCATTGTTTTGTTTAATTTTAGCTTTAGATTTGGCAACCTTGAGATTGCATCTCTCCTAATATATTTTTTTAACGATCTGCGCAGTTCCCGAAATCTTAATTCGAAAGCAGTTAGTTATGCAAATGAACGCCAGCGAGTAAAAAAAAACGAAACGAAATGCCAAAATCTAATGGGGCCGGCCCCCTAATTAATACCCGCATACCTGACTTTATTGTATTTTGTATTTTCAGAGCACGATTTTAATGAGCTCACGGCAGCGGCTCAATCCCTCAAGCCGGGAATGGCAGTGGTTACGGGGGCGAGTCTGAAGACCAAGTCCCAGTTGACGGACACCATCAAGGAATCGTGTCTTCCCAAGATGCTCTGCGAACTGGCCTCCAAACCGGAGTACCAACTCAGCGAAAAAGAGCGGGAATTGCTGAGACTGATCCGGTAAGTGACAGGTGCACTTGGCCAAAAACCAAATATATCTACATAAAAAGCATTAACTAAATTCACAAGAAACAAATCAAGGGAAATCTTAGGAAAAGAGGTTTATAGAATGGATATTCTAAATGTGTACATGATAATATAATATATAAAATACATAGTTAGCAACATTAGTAAAGAGTCGTGTAAATTTTAAAAGTGTACTTCTTAACCAGTTTTAAAAACAGTTCATGGCTTATGTTTGAGATTTTCACGAAGACCAAGAACTCATAGTTCAAATAACTTTAACTCCCTGCTGGTGGATAATTATCTTAATGGTTGCATAAGAAAATATAAAACTTAATCAGTGAATAAAATATATATGAATGGTGGCAATTTATTTTTTAATAAGTTAATAAGTTGCGGTAGACAGATAAGTTCAAGTAAATAAACCGTTTTTTAAAATAAATAAGCTAAAATAACAAATTGAATATAAATGTCAGCACATACTGCAAATACAAGAATTTATGGATTCTTTATATTCTTGAAACTGGTTAGCAATGACTTGCATAAATAATCGTATAGCATCAGCATTAACTAGTATAAGTTTTCGATGAGAAAGACAATCAATTTATAATATATCTGACAGAAAGACCTTAAACTGTTCAGGTTAAACATGATTTACAGAATTTTTTAAAGATTTTTTATAAAATAAATAATTGGTTTGGTAATTAAATTTTAGAAAAAACTTGTTTTTTAAATATTCTCAAAGTATAAAACCTAAACTGTTATTTCTAAATGGGGGGGGGGTAAATTCAATGTTTGAAATTCTAAACGAAAGTTAATCTTTATGTTACAGAAAGGCAAAACAATTTTGAAAATAGGCAATAGGAAAATTTTAATTTGTAAGAGTATATTTATTTATTTTATTATCGACGACTGTTTGCTCGTAAAGTGCAACAAGTAGAACCAGTTCTGAACTGATCTGTCAAACATTTGCATACTCAGCAGTTGCGAAAGGTTTCAAACAGGTTTCATAGGGTTCGAGTGCATTTTTTCTTGAATTGCGATCCATTAAATTTCTAATCTACCAGAATTAATTATATAGAAGGTGAATCACAGGGGTTTGAACAATCCAAAGTGCAGCCACTTAGGGAAACTAAACCACAAATATTTAAGCTCGGCTTTAACCCATGGATCAGCAGTCGTAACCTACCTCAACTTCAGCTGTAACCTCGCACTTGAGGCGAAGGTGAGCCGAAGCTAATGTAAAAGCTCGGCCAGTCTATAGAGTCGACTAAGTCAAACAGCAAGGTGAATGGCTCTGGCATTCTAGAATCTAGACATATTCGAAAAACTACTGAAAGCGAAACTTGAACAAACTCCAGCGAAAAAGCAGGCGAAGCGTGAAATGATAATGGCTTATTATAATATTTAACATTTGTTCAGTTGTTCGGCTGTTCGGCTGTAGAGAAACTTCCGTCTAATGTGCCCATTATTTGCAGATCTCCAACAATGCCCTGGATGATGAACATGCCGCCGAGCAAATGGTATTTCGCGGCTCACATGGGCGAACTAATGCGCCACACGGGCGACAATCTCAGTGGACCGATGGGATGTGCCAATCTCTGGCCAAATTGCCCGATCAGTTCCAAGAAGCTAATGAAACTCAGCTACAAGGTGAGGGTCTAACCCTGCTAGACCCCCGGGATCTGTATCTGTATCTTAAGTTTCACCTCAACTTTTGTACCATATGTCTTCACCGTTGGATTACCTTACCTTGTAAACTACCTTATATTTAGATTAGACCTTAGTCCCGACATGACTGAAGTGACTGTAGAACTGTAGTACTGTAGAGCTGTATCCACTTGTATCCACCTTTGGCTACGAGTCCTAGGTAGTTTGTAACTAATAAGTGTGACTAGTCACGACCCGATTTAGCATTACGCCTAGCCTAAGTTCGATGCTCCTGTAATTGTTAATAAATTACACTCTTTTGTGCATACTCCCTAATGATCTGCCTTAATCCATCCTTATTTGTTGCCATGTCACCTTCGGGTGATTTGTGAAATGGCTTTGATAAAAAACACACTTTTTTTCAGGCGGCCAAGTTCATGTGTGTACGGGTATGTAATTGCTAGGAAGCGATCGACCCGCTGGCAATGAAATCGTATTTTTAGAAATTGTTATGCAACGGAAGGTTGCCTCCGACATCAAATGTGGCAATCTATTAAACGGATTTTGCGATGAATCATTCGAGATTTTCTCGCTTGACTGGGTGAAGTTTAATTGGTCTAGTATAATTGCATTTAAAGTGGTGTATTGCATGCTATGTTTGATAGGAAATACACATTGGCTAAGCCGATTAGCCAATTTAATTTAGCCGAAGGTAAATATTGGTTGTGTGCACTTTTTATGTGACGAAATATAAATGCATTAGTCTCTAAAATAATTCTAATATTTGTTGGAGTTGGTGATAGGACAATAAATCAATGTATATATATGTTGGGGGAGGCCTTTTTTTCAGAAATACAATGAAGACATCTGAATTTGATCCAACTCCAACGGGTGTATATTAGTATTACACGCTCTGGTAAATAGTATTATACGGAATTCCTAATTAAAAATAAAATAATTAAGCAATCAGTACAAAAAGTTCTAAAGATCTTATAAATAATAAAAAACGAGATTTTGTATTGGAAATTTTATTAAACCCTATCATAAAATATGAAAGATGAATGCAAAATGAATTGGGAAGTGCTTTAATTTAAAATTATGAAGATTAAAAGCTACACCTTACCAATTAATCTTTTCAAACTAATTTGTTTATTACTGTTAAAATAGTTTTAAGCGCATACTTTCAGGCGCACTTTCAAAACTACATATACCACACACCTTGAACGAAGAATAAAGAAAAAACAAAACAGCCAATTTTAGTGCTCACTTTATATGCAAATTCGATTGGCTCAAAGACATTGTGCAAAAAAAATTAGAATAAGTTTCGCTTTGTTTACAATTGTTTATCAGATCGATCGAGTATTCCGAGCACAGATGTTAGAAAAAAACGAATGGACATTCGGGTGAAATTGTTGGATTATGACAGACATATTGATGGCTGAATTAAAAAAAACTCTGGAAAGTAAACAAAAACAAGAAATTATTTTTAGATTTTTCGATAATGCATAAATCAGTCAGTGACACGAGGCAATAAATGAAATAAATCACCGATGCGAAAATCGAATCCTAATTGAAATTCCAGTTACAGACATGTTCAATTTGGCAACAAATTTAGCCTGGAATTGCACAAAGCGTACAAAACAATAAAAGTCAACAAATTCGTAATAACCAACAGAAATTGGGTCAGATTTGTTTAACTGTTTCAGCATTTTTGTTGTTTGTTACGCTAGTTGCGTGTTTCAGTGCGCAACTTTCATTGTTTGGTATGGCTCTGGCCCAAATTTCATGTTTGGCTTGGACCCGGCTCAATTTCTGCTTTTGGGCTGACGTTTGACAAGTTGTTTGGCTTATGCAATTTGGGGGGCGGAGTGGGAGGAGCAGGTGCCCCAGGTGCAGTTGCATTGTCTTAGACTTCTGTCAGCGGCTTGTTTCTTTCTTTCTTTTAATAATTTCCGCATATTTGGCACGCCGAAAATGAAAGCGAAGTTTTGGCAACAGTTTTGAAATAACGAAACTGCAATACTCTGAAAATGGAACATTCTATCGAATATAAATAAATTAAATATATTCGCTTATTTGCAGGTAAAAATCAAAAACTATAAGCTTACCAAATGGTTAAAAACTTTAATGGCTATAACTTAAAAACAGAAACATGGAATTTTTTATTGCATCCTTTAGGCATTTCATGGTATTAAAAAGGGTTTCCTTAAAAATCGAAATTTTGTTAACAATAGTTTTATTATAAATTTAATTTCTTACCAAAATTGGCAAAGCTAATTTTGACTTAAAAAATTACATTCCAAAATGTCTAAAATTTTCAAAAATGTATGATGTATATGAAATTTAAGCCAAAAAAAATGTATATTAATGGATTTTCACTGACAAAAAAATGTAAAATAAATATTATATAATTTTCAATACAAAATGGAAGGGTGTAAATACTAAAAACCTTTACCATATGAGGAAAACTGGAAAAACACGAAAATTTTCCACTACAAAAGTTGCATTTCCCAACCTACTTTCCTGCTGCACATCAAGAAAAAATCATAGTCGAGGTGAAAATCAGTGTACGGTTGATGTGCATAAAATGTAAGGCAAACTTAAATCAGCGACGAGAGAAAAGCGAATTTCCCATAGCGGTAGTTGGAGCGTTTACAATTTGAGTGCCGCTCGCGAGTCTCCACTGTGGATTGCGTAACTCCGGCGGTGTCTACGTGAGCTTATCGAGGTGTTTTCAAACGGGTCCCGGCGACTTGGCCAACTGACTGATTGAACCACTCTTTGATGGACGATTGCCTCCAGTAAATTATTCTTATTACTGACGCCTCATTGCATCTGCACAGTTATTAAAAGCGGACTTCCTCGATATTGATTTGATTTCCTTACTTTACTTTCCTCCGATTGTTAACCTGGCCAACGACACGTGCTCCATGGTTTCGTTTGCTAACTAATTTGGCAAACATAAGCATAAGCAATCGGTTAACTTCAATGGTGATAATTAACTGAGCTAACAAAGTAAATGCTGAATGGTGGGATTGGCCGTATTGCGTTAGATATGACCATTACTTTGGAACTAGTTCAATAAATTATTTTGCATTACTATTGTTTTTTAAAAATAATCAGAAAAATAATTAATTTAACCTTTTCAAAAATAAACGATGTACACCCAAAAGAATAAAATATTATCCCATTTTGAAAATATTTTTGAATAAAAGTTGTTTTTTGGGTCTGTTAAATTCTAAAAATGTTATCTAGAAAGTCATCTTAAAAGATCAGTATCATTGCAGTATACAAAAAATAATAATAAGTAAAATATTATTGTTAACGATAAGTCAAATACAATAATCTGCTTTGTCAAAAAATCTTACATTTAGCAACAAGCGTATTGCCAATTTTGTTTAGAACCTGTTATCTAAAAAGTTCAGTTCCATAAATAAACTACCCAAAGTTAGTTAGAAGAAAGCTTTAAGCTAAATCTATTTTCAATAGGTTTCACCTGTTGATAGTGGAGCAACTTAGCCGTTTGACCCCCAAACCAAGCTGAAACAAATTGCTCAAATCACCAGCTCGCCCAAGTAGGAAATCTTGCACTTCGTCCACGAGACACTCGGTAACACCTAACGGAAATGAGGTAATTGATATGCAAGCCAAACACCAAGACCAAAATAAAACCACAGAAAATAAAGAGCAAGAAAGGAAACCCCGCCGAATCAAGTGCGAATACCCAGACATTTGACTGGCAAGATTTCATAACTTTTAATAATTGCACTCGGAGAGAAAGATACACCAATGTGTATCCACGATGTGGACTTGGGGACTTCAGAGAGCGTAGAGCCTAGGCTGCGCCCTCCGGTTAGTGGGCCTCACTTTCACTTGCTGCTCTTGTCTCTGGCTTCCGCACGAAACTTGGTCAAAATGCAAAACAAACTTGGCCCGCAAAAAACTCAAGCAAGCAGTGGCGTCCAAAAGGGGATTAAAACTATAAAATAACTAATTTTAGAGAAATACAAATCTCACCTGATAATAAATATTATGCACTTTGCTGTATTTAAGGCATTTCAGAACGATTTTGTTAAAAAAAAATAGTTTTAGGGACTGCACATTGAATTTTAAGTATATCACTCATACGCACCGTTGCCTTTTATACGAAAATGTATTTTAACTGACTTCACGTGTCGTATGAGTAATTTTTATACAAATTTTAGACCATTTAGCATCTCCTAAAACTTAAAAAAAAGGTTTTGGACATTTAAATTAATTTGTTGAACACCAAAATCTACTTAAATAAACTAAAATATCATGCTACAATACATTATAATCCGATACTAAGCCAGTTTTATTTTTCAACGTTAAACTTGAATTCCATTTGAGTTTGGATAAGTTTCTTATGAAATTTAGCAAACTTTTAGGCCATATTGTTATATCATCTGAACGGTTATATAAATACTTTTCTCTAGAAATGAATACATGACAAATCCAATATAAAGTTATATCAAATATGGGCAAAGGTAAGACATCCCCCCGAATTTTTCCTCGACGTCCCTGGACCCGAAAACCCACACATGGGAGTGTAAGCTTTACACAACAAGTGATTTCTTGGGGCCTACACTTGGGTTTCGGCCAGCGACTCTCGGTCTCCGCTTCTCTTTGTTTACGTTTACGTTTAAGTTAACGTTTGGTTTATTTTTTTATGCGGCACTGTGGCGGCTTAAAGCGGCCGCAGGTCGCTTCAGTCAGTTAAAAGACTTCAAGCGCACCAAGTCGCCTGCCGCTCCACTCCAAAACTCGAATTCGAATATATTGTAGTGGTATTACGATATTACCCAATAGTCGCCGGCCATGAATCTGCGGTACATCTGCACTGTGACTGCGGTGCCAACGCTCTGCGTTTTGCTGGTGCTTCTTCTGGAATTCGTGGAGGAGGGCCTGGCCCAAAGTTCCGATCCCCTTTTCGAACTTCCCGTCCAGCTGGTCGGATTCCCCGTGATCGTGCTCTCCGTCCGCCTGTCCCAGTTCGCCAAGAAGCTGGCCTACTCCCTCAGTCCCAGTAAGTCTTACTCTACCGCCCATCGCACTCGGTTTTTAATTTCTTTTTGGAATTCAGTGAAAGTTGAAAATATGTTGTGCATAAATTAAGTGTTTTGCATTGTTCAAATCAGTGCAGGAATTCGATGAGGAAATTTCCAAATTAATAAATTTAGGCAGCGATTTCGTTGGGCGAAATTTTTGGTTTCACCCGTTAAGTGAGCGTTTTATTAAGTATAATAACAGATATAGATAAAATTTTAAAACGTTACAAAAGGTATAAAACTTCATTACCCCCTCTTGATTAACATTACAACAGTTTTAAATGTATTGTTTTTCATGGCTAGTTAGTTAGCTTTTATATGATTCCCCTTTCACTGGATGGTAAAAAATCGTGGAGTTATGAAATAGCATAAGCTCGTTTTCTTCTAACTTGTTATTACCAGAAAATATATTTTTGTATGTAAATTAATTAGTTTGAAAATCGATATCCGCTGATATAAAATGTGTATATACTTTTTTATACTTTTCTCAACAAGCACTAAGCAAAAGTAAAAAGTTTTACATTTCAATAATTCATTTAAATCGGAATTATCTTTCGGACATAATAAGATATGTGAAGGATATTATAACTATCATATTTAAATATTCAAAATAACTCGTATACTATTATACTACCTAATTTTTTAATGTTAAAGAATACTAACCTTTTAAATAAAATTATCTCAAGCTTTAAAAATTTGTTCATTCATTAATACGCATAGACAGAAAAATATATTTTAATATTAGCTTTTAGAAGCCGGCCAGTTTTTCTGTAATTTACACCTAATATAAATTAATTCACCCTATGACTTTATAAAATGTAAAATGCAAATAGCGGTTTTTGACTAATTTGCATTGAAGGCACTCCAACTCACTTTGTGAGTGCGTGTCTATTGCCGATTGTTGTGACTTGTTACTCATTGCGTTGGACCGTAAAAACCTGATCTGCAAGTGCGATGACAAAAGCGGCTGCCAACTATCGTGCTCGTCCACTTAGCCGACAAAATGTGAAAATGGGGTCAAGGCTGCCGGCGAGCCAGTGGCTTCAACCATAACAACTGCCACCACTCCGTGCAGCCGGAAATTAAATATAAAAGAGAGGGAGCTGAGTTTGATGATGTTGACAGTAGAGTTGTTAAGCTTTTGGCATGAGTAATCTGGGAAATACCTTAAAATCCATATAATTATCCGAACTTTTAAGCTATACTGCAGAAAGAAAGCAGAGAAGGAAAATATAATTAATAGAGAAGAAATAGTAGTAGTTCAATTGAATAGTTTTTAAAAATTAAAATACAGAAATTAATTGTTTTGTGAAATTTTTTTTTTTAGGCAGTTTTTTAATGTGGTTATTTAAATATTTTATTATTATTAAATATTTCATTTCCAACTTGTTGGCTTAAAGTTGAAAAGTCAAAAACCTTAAAACATTAAAAACTTCTGTAATATATTTTTAGCTCACAATCCATGATTTTCTCCTCAATTAAGAATACATTTTTTTATGTTTCTCAGGATTCAAGATATAAACAAAACTTACCCAGCTCAAAAAAAATTTCTGGGGCGCAGTTTTAAAATTGTATTTCGAATTAAGCATCTTTGATCGAACCAATTACAATTGGAATTGATTACTCTTTCACAGGTACATATAGATCTCGCAGCAGAAGGGACACCGCTCACCCACTATCCCTTGATGCTGAGCTGGCCCAAAAGCAGATCCAGTTCGAGTTCGGACCTCAGGCCTGCATCCTCGAGGAGCCATGCCGCGTTCATGCTTCCCGCAATCTGGGTTCCAGTGACCGCCGATTTCCCGGCAATGGAAATGCAAAGCCACATGCTGCCTGGTCGGAGGTCTTGAGGTAGGTCAAAAATGGGTAACAGTGTAGTAACTAATATATAGTTACTTAAGGCTTAAAGGTTAATCGAATAATATGCATGATTGGTACTGGTGTAATTTTGGTTTAATTGAGTTCTAAGTTTTAACGATAGACTCCACTCAGTTCTACAAGTAAAAATTTGTATGGAAGTAGTAAAAAATGTTCTTCAAAAGTTAATTTGTGAAAAAATTTTTTTGTAACTCAATGAGGTTTGTTTTAATAACATATTTTTTTTAAATTTACCGAATTTAATATTACGCTTTGTTGTACATAGAATTGCAATTGAATTTTACATTGAATATAGTTTAATATTTCAGAAATAGGATTTAAAGATGAGTTTAGTTTCTGAAATATTATTGAAACTCCGATATATACCTTTAAAACTAAATATCTGAATTCTTTAGTTACATATTGTTTCCTTAGTATATTTTTGCTTCATCATATTTCCCGTCCTCTTGTATTTGGGGCAATCTAAGATAGGATGTAATCAGCGTTTTCGAGTGCCTTTGCCCCGTTTTTCGCTCAAGTGCAGCAGTGCTGACTTTATGGCAACTCACTCAACTCAAACTGGCAGTAACAACTTGAACTTCGGTTGGTTCTGGTTCTATTTCAGTTTCTGTTTCTGTTCTGCGATTGCATTTGTTATGGCTACGTTTGCAGTTTGGCGCTGCTGCTGTTGTCATTTGGCAAATGAATGGCTTGTTTTTAGCTAAAGCAAAATGTTTTCCAATCAATTTTTATATCTCCTTGTTGTCGCTGTCTCATCCTGGAGTTCGCAGTTCGCCCATTGTCATTGGCATTGCTAACTCATCTGTGCATAATTTAATGTATCCCTGGGGTCCCCAGTTTAAAAGTGCATGTCACGACTCCAACTTCGACTGCGACTTTGCCTTTGGATTTCAATTTGTAAGTTTACATAAATTTAGTTGGGTTTGCCAGTTCCTGATGAGTTGGTTGCCCTCGCAGCTCCCTATTATACCATTGTCATGGTAATGTTACGAGGCAGCAAGTTATACTTCTCACCCGTCAAAAGCCCCCAGCTAAACTCAGCTAACTGCTGTGATTCATAATTAATGCGCTTGTCTCGGCAGCATCTTCCTTGATTTTTTTATTGACGTTTTTATGCAATAAAAGAAAGGAAGCTTGGCTGGTCAGTGGTAGTAAAACATTTTTATTGTTGCCACCAGTTTCCATTTTGAAATACTCGTATTTAAAAGGGGACAGGACAAACAAAGGGCAGCTTAAAGGAAAGCTTCTTAGGGAAGTCCTTCGGCAGACGTGTCGTATGCGTAACATTTTCTTGTTTGGCCACTCTCCATTTATTCTATTTAATATCTTGTGATATCGCAAAAAGGTTTTCCACATGCATCTGACACTTTCACACTTAATGTGCAAAATTGTTCACCCTTCACACCGCCCCCCAAAAATTGTGCAAAAGTTGTTGTTTGGCCAATGTGTCAAGAGCAAATATTCAAAATTATTTTTGAAATGTTCGTCTGTCTGAGGAGCCCTCACCTTCATTCCGAACCTGACCCGACCTAAGTCTCAGTTTGAGTCTGGCTGTGATGTTTTCGTTCGGTTTTTGTTTAGTTTTCGTTGCGCTGCAAATGTAATTGGCATTAGGAGAAGTTTTCTGCAACTCGACGTGTTTTGTAATAATAAAATATGATTAAAGTTTTTGATTAAATTTATGCAAGTGCACAGTGGGGAATGGCATACCAAAGCTGGCTTTTCTCCAGGTTTTGGTCAGTTTTTCCCTCCGCTTTTCCGGAGGGTAGTTGCAGATGTGTTTGTTACCGAGTTGATTAAATTATGCCATTGCAGACGTGTGAAATTTGAACTGTCCGTAGGTCCAAAGGTGTGAAAGCAAAGGGTTTGAATGGCAGAAGGGAAGGTGGCTATCACAAAGTAATCAGCAGGGTCCAGTCCAAAAAGGACACTTTTGCAATTTGCTTTACAATCAGTAAGGGATGTTAAGGGGTTTCTATACCATTAACAACTAAGTTAGTTTAAAAGGTGGTTCGGTTTGATAAAGACATAAGTAAAGTTTAACATTGTTATTTCATTTGGCTTGAGTTTAGAGAATACAAATGAAGGGTTTATTAAAATCTTAAAGGAATATATTTCACAACTTTAAAGGAGAGCTCTTAATTATTTACTTAATATTTTGTTAGCTGATGAACAGTTGACTGTATACATATTGGTCATATACAGACCCTAAGAAAAGGTTTGATTTGTTGGTAATAAGACGATCAAATAACTTTAATTGGTATCTTTTATCGTGGCATTTCTTATAAATTTAAAGTATACTAAATTATGATTAAATCTTTTATTTTCGGTTCCGCGATATTTGTTTAAGGTAAAACCCAGTATAATTGCTATGTAGCAGTGTAATCAATGTAAAAATATTTATGTATTTCTGCCTTTCTTAATACATATTGCTTCCACACACCAGCCCTTTATACATAAGTAGCATCCCGGCACAACCATTACACAAATAACCCAAGTGAAACCCACTCCCCACCAAACATGATATTCTGCATTATGGTGGAATACTCTTCCTTTTGGACTGCTGCTTTTGTTTTTAAATCGGGGATGGAGCCTCTGTTGTTATGTGTGCATATTACCCACTTACTTATGAGTAATTATTTCTGTAATCCGCTTTCCAATTCCCCGCCTGCGTCATGCAACGTGCAACATGGTGCTCCAACGACCAACAGGAACTACAAAGTGCAATCGGGCGTCAGTGGGATGAAGCAATGGTACCTGCTATCCCTGTTCATCGGCGATGCTGTGCGGGATGTGCCGCTCTGCAAGCACCTGGCCAAAAGGATGCCCTGTCCAGGAGTCGGACCCTTACCCCCGCCCCAACCGCGTTGAAGATCTGCTCGATTCCACCTCTTCAAATTAGCGGAGGAGGAGCATCCGGATGGAGTCCACTTAGTCAGTCGCATCGGACATCTTTGTTAATCATCCATCTTTCGGCACTCGCATCCAGCATCCGGCATCCATGTGCTGTCCTCGTGCACCCCATCATTTCGTTGTACTTTTAGTTGCTTTTAAGGGTTTTAATTTAAACGAACGCCCGCCAACAGACGTAGGCGCTTAGATTTATGAGTAAGCAAATAAATAAACAAACCAGCTGGAAAAAATCAACCAAAATTTGTGTGTTCCTATGCTGGGACATGTCTGGACTCCCTCAATTTTCCGTTCGGACAATGCATTTCCCTTTCCCCATTTTCATGGCGAGGCAAGAAGCGAAAAATTGATACGCCAAAGAGCATGCAGCAAAAAATTCGGCCCGGTTGCAATGCCACTCGCAATTTGTTGACGCAAGGCATTAAGATGCAAGGGAATGGGTTGCCAAATACCCTGAAATAGCTTTAGTTGGGTATGCTTACGGGGTAATAAGAATCCCTTATACTGATTTAAGTTAATGTCATACACAAATATTGATTGAACACAGATTATTTTTCTATTTAAAATGGCAAGACATTTAATTTATGTTTTATATAGAGGTATGTAAAGAAAATTTTATTAAAAATATATATTTTTCCACCAAGGAACCATTTTAAAATTTAATTTCTCTTTAATCACAAATTAATATAAAATTTAATACTATTTCAAGTTGAGTCACCTTTGTTTTTGGTTTTAAAGAATTGTTTTTACGTTGGCGATTTCTAACAAATTAATACTACATAGTTATTATTACAAAAAAAATTACAGTCGTATCATACTATTATGTTCTTTCATTTTAAATAACTAAACCAAAAAATATAAAAGGGATTTAATAAATAGTTGGAATAAGTTTTCGATTAAATATCAACTACCAGTCGGTTCGATTCCTTTTTTAGGTCTCAACTTTTCTTTTTCTTACTCCCCCTATGAATTTCCACATAGAACACAAGTTGCGACCAGCCAAAAAAACAAAACCAACTGTCGGTTCTCAGTCGCTAGCCCCAAACCCCGACTTTGAGCCCTGGGTTTCCCATTTATTAACTCGTTGCATATGGTTTGCATACAAACGGTGGCTGCTGTCGTCGTCCAGAGTGCTGTAAATAAAATAAGACGACAGCAACTGCAGCAGCAAATGTCGCTGGGAGCTTTTCCTTTGCCATGGCAACCCTGACAACCCTGGTCGCCCTGCCGCACAAAAGTATGCTGCACTTTTTGCGCACTTTTGCATTTCTGTGTGATTTTCCCGCTGACAAACGCTCGGCCATTTGGGAAAACGCTGGCGGGAAAAAAAGTATAAATTAAATTCTTGATGCTCCTGGGGATTTCGACAAGCTTTGCCTCTGCATTTTTTGTTGTACCCCGTATCAGCAGAAAGAATAATTATAAGATTAAGTAAGCGGGAAAAAAACAATTTATCACTTGCTCTACAATTTTTTTATTTAAGCAATATAAAATAATTATCGTCAAAATATGATAATTAGTATTAATTATTTTTTGGAGAACTATTTTATGAGAATAATACTTAAAATAAATTGCTGTTGTTTTGTGGATGGGAATTTAAAAAGTAGATTCCTCTTTAAACTAATGCAAACATTCTTAGTTTAATCTTTCCATTTAAAAATCTTCTGACTGGACATTGATTCTATTCAATTGAATACTAAGCAGAGGGTATTTTGTATTTCACCTAAAATATTCGTGTGTTTTTTCTTTGTTTATTTTTGCATTTCCATTATTGTCCGGGTTTATCACATTTAATTTTTCAAACGTATTCCCTGGATGAGGCCGTTTGCCGCTAGATTTATGCGACAATTTCACTGGCAGCTTGTTTCACTTGTTGAAACAATGGAAGCCGAGGAAGAAAGTTTATCTTTTTGCACACTTTCGGTTGATTGAATTGTGTTTTATTAATAAATATATGTTTAAAGCGTTAAATATTTACAGACTTATGTGACTAAGTGGTGGCCTGCCTCTGTGCGGGTCTTTGTAGTTAACCCTTAATAGGTTTGAATTTGCAAGGATTAATTATTTTTGCATTTAATTCTAATACAAATTATAAATTATTTCAAAGACACATATTGAGAAATTTGAAGACAAGATGCTTAGCCTACTTAAACTGCAGATATTCATTTTTGTAAATGCGAAAGAATTGCATTGGAGAGTAGGCTTATTCGATTTTTCAATATTATTTACAATTCCATAAGAATGGTGTAGGATTTAAAGCCAATCTGTTTTAAAAGCAAAGCAAAAACTAATTTTCTTAAGCATCTATACAAACTGACCTATTTCAATGTTCTTAATCCTAACCTGTTTTTAGATAGACCTTACCGCCATCAGGACGAATGTAGTACTCGTTGACTCCCTGCGAGTTGGTCACATATATATTTTTATCGTCTTCGTAATGCGGTTTTTGATTTTGACTGCTTCCATACCGATTATCACTGATGTAGTTTGCATTCGGGTAGTTATAGTGGGGTCTTTCACTCGTTGTCTCTCCAAAACGAACCGTATTACCGGGCATATATTCGCCGTGGTTTAGGGAATTGAATCCGCCCTCCAATCGGTAGTGATTCTGGGCTCTGTGTTCATCACTCACCACCAGGCGATCCTCCTTGGGCTGTCCAACCTCATTGTACTCGTAGGTGGGTGCGTAGGTGGGTCTATTGAGGATCTTGCCCTTCCGAATGTGCTGTTCGTAGTGATCGGGGAAAATGACGCGGGCTCCTCGTTGCGGAGGAGCTGCATCTTCGTAAACGGCATTTGGAGGAGGAGGGGTTTCGTCCTTAAAGGACTGTTGGTTATTCTGTGCCTCTCGAATGCGCTGGATCTGGAGTCGTTCCCTTTGGATTCTGTCTTCTCGGATCTGCTCTTCTTGGATCTCTCGTAGTTCTTCTTCCCGGAGTTGTTGCTCCCTGATTTGTTCTTCTTCCCGGAGCTGTTGCTCCCTGATTTGTTCTTCTCGGAATAGTTCCTCTCTAGCTTTTTGTTCCCGGATTTCCTCCTCTAACATCCTTTCTTCCCTCAATTCCGCTTCTCTGAACAGCTCCTCCTCCCTGATCCTTTCCTCTTGCAATCGCTGCTCATCCAGATGTTCGTTGGTATCCCTAAACACAATCCGTTTTCCCCTCCGCTTATCCACTCCCAAATCAGATTGGGAAAGTCCATTTGGCAATACGACTTTCCAACCCTCCATGAATGATAACTCCTTGGCTTTCCTCACATTTTCCGATGGTTCATCCTGATCCTGGGGAAATCTCAGCTTTCGTTGAGCCGCATTGCGATTAAAAAGCCGGATAACATCCGCTGGTGTGGCATCCGGAAAACGGACTGCTCCTTCCTCGTGCTGTTCCTCGCTTTGAATGTCCTTGAAGTTTATCACCCGACCTTCACCTTCTTCTTCGGGAAATTGCAGGACACCTATGAGTTCAGTGTGAGCCTTGGCCGCCTCCTCCTCCTCATCATCCTGAAACTTCACTAGCTGACTGGTTTGGGTGTCCAGGTTGTCCTCCTCGTCATGGAAGTCATCATCCAGGTTGAGACTCCTTCTCCTCCTCCTTCGTTGGTACTCCACTCCATTCAGATATTCAGATAGCACCTGGGTGAAGAAGCTACCGATTCCACTGGCAATGTCCGTGGAGGGTCGCTGGGTGGGACGTGGTGGAGGTCTCGGAGTGGTGTAACTTTGACTTCCGCCTCCTCCCCCTCCTCCGCCTGTCAAGGCTGAAAGGATGCTGAACAGGGATCCTGTACCGCCATCTCCTTGTTGCGAGGCCACTGGTGTTTCCTCGGGCTCACTGAAGAACTTGAAGAATCCGCCGCGGTGATTGTTCAAATAGTGAATGATTTCCATCTAAATATAAAGATGTTTTATTAATAAATAATTTTACATAATACGAAATAATTAAATTGAAGGCAATATGTATTGTTGTAAAGGAGGTATAAAACTAAGTTATGACTAAGACTTTGTTTTTTGTGACTTTTATTATTTAAATCATATTAATTGTGAATATTATTTGTTTATATACATTTTTTCTAATTTTTGTCTAAAACGAGAAGGGAAAATCTCTTTAATTGCCAAAATGAATATTTCTGCACTAATTGGATATATTTTTGTGTGTGCTCCTATTAGTACATGCTTTTTAAACCTCTTTTGCATAGTGTAATTACTTACATCATTTTTAGGACATTTCTCGTAGGTCTGGATGCAGCTCCGCTCTCCACCACTCAACCCAAGAAGAGCAGCTCTTCCATAAATGAGGGCAGGTGATGCCACAGGGAATCCAGCGAGGAAACTGTAAAGACAAGTAAAGGGGTTAGTATTTATATCTTAACGAAAATTTGTGACCGTCTGCTCAACGAGGCTGTCTGGAAAAATATATTCAAATCGTAGTAGAACTTCTGTTATAAATCTTTATGTTTAAGAACTTTAACTAAAAATATAAAAATTTCGAAAGGTTATAGATATAGAAGGTAAAGCTTATCATTTATTAATGTATACTTGCTTTATCAGAAGCTTATTGAAATCGAAATGAAATCCTTTTTCTAAAGTTGGCTGCAATATGTTCCCATCAATATCTGTATCTATCAGTATAGGGTAATTTTTCAGAGCTAAGCTAGATTTTGAGAAACGGCCACGACATTAAGCTTAGAAACGTTCGACCTGCAGGACGATTTCACCCAATAAGCTTCCCATTTAGTTACACAAGTATAGCAACTCCATCTTCCTTTTAGGCTATCTCTAGGCGGCTTATAAAACTTAATTGACTCGAAGCCAAGAATTTGCCAAAGCCAAAACAATTTCAATTTACAATGGGTGCTATCGCAACCCCTTTTCCCATTCCCATTCCTATTTCCACTTCCCGAAGAAAATCCCCCACCAGACGTAGCTCATTTAATAGAACAATCAATATGGTCTGCAAGGCAGTAATGAAGTCTAATCCCAGTTAACGCTGCACCACAGAAACAAGATGCCCCCATCTGCCTCAAAATGCAAATTTAATAATATTTACTCACAACTAAGCCCCTGCATAATGGGGACCAGCCCATGCCTTAACACTGAAAACAACTTTTGTTATTTGTTATAAAAGGAATTACTGTAATATGTATTGTTCAATCTCTTGGTTTTTAAAGGAATAGTTTTCACAGCATAGAAAGCATATCAAAAGAAAAAATATTTTGGAAATAATTCAGACTTAGTATATTATATCTGAATTTCCTTGAGCTGTTTACTTACGAACTGCAAAAAATCGTGTGATACCATTAAAGACTAGAAGGGCTAATCAATTAACACCCATAAAAAAATAGCTAGTGAGGAATGTGTTGTAAAATTTAGACTAATTTAAAAATAATACGAAAAAGAAACACTTAAAATAAAGTACAGTTAAACTAATGGTAACACGTATTCACACGTATTATTTATTAAAGATATTGATAGGTATGTTTAAAATATTATCAAAACCATAAAAAGTTAAAAAAAAAAGATTATTTTTAATGTTGGCTTGACCTTAAGTCTATGTAATAAATTAAATGTTTTACCTATTTCCCTTTTTTAACCCTGTAATTTAACTTGTTTTTTATTTAAATATCTGTGTCTATGCCCGGTTTCGTTCAGTGCAAGCCGATCCCCTAGTCCCTTCCTGCCCCCTTTGGAGTACTCACTTGGTTATGGCCGGGGAGGTAACGAATCCGGGCAATTGGCCACGTAACGTTTGACCGGCAATCATCTGGCAGAGCACCTTGGGCACGCACTGCAAATCGTCGTTGCGAGCGATGTTCTCCAGTGCCCTAATGAGTTGTGTGTTGGGCGGTCGTCCGCCCTGACCCCCACTTTGGTGTCCTGCTCCTTGTGTCCCGGCGAAAGCGCCGAGGAGACTGCCTAATGGGCTGGCCGACTGGGAGGATGAGGAGGGGGAGCCACCGCCCCCCAGGAGGAGATTCGTAAATTGTGGTGCATACAGCGAGGCCAGGGTGGCCAAACCATTGCCCACTACTCCTCCTCCTCCGACTCCTCCTCCACCTCCTCCTCCTCCTAATCCTGGACCTCCACCCGGTGACTGAGTGGCAGGACGATAGTTGAACTGCTGCTGCTGCGGCTGCTGGAAGTGCTGCGACTGCGGTGGCGGTATCTCGCCAATCTGATACTCGTAGTAATTGTGTCCCGGTCTGGGCCGCTGGGGCTGTCCAGATCCTGGTCTGCCTCCTGCTGGACCTCCTGCTACTCCATTCTGGGGGTTGTATTGATACTGATAGTTTCCAAACTGCGGCTGTACCTGCACAGAACAAAATTACAAGATATAGTAAATAAATATTAATTCACAAATATTTTTGTAAACCTAAATTAAATTCAACTTTTCGAATTGTGAATGTTTTATCCGAATTTTCTATAAATCAAAAAATCTAGATTATATCGCTTCCGATCTCTTTTATTAAATAAAAATAATTATATATATTCTTATTATTATTCTTTTAAACTGACTAATTTTTAATAATAATAATGTAAAATTCTGTTAAATAATTTCGCTGAACGTTGTGCAGAGCTATATAACATTTGAAAAAAAATATTTAAATTAATCTATGAAAAATGTTAAATATACCTTGCACATATGTATTATTTCCACAATATTTAGTTGAATGTTGTACATAACTTTAACCATTTAAGAAATAATTGGTTTTTAATAAAATTTGATAAATTCCAAGTGGACCCTAAGCTTATAGTCTTATTTCCATATATTCTTTTCGTTATCATTGTATAAATTTAATTGAATATGGCATAAGTTAACGTTATAAAAAAATCATCATTTAAAGCTTATAAATAAAACTATCCACCGTTAGGTTTTTAACCTAAGATTAATTAATTTTTCTTTGTGTACCTGGCTTGGGTTCTGGATCTGAGTCTGCTGTGTATTCGGCCGCTGCGAATAATTATCAAAGTTGTTTGCATAATTAGACGAGCCAGGAGGTGGTGGTCCACCTACTCCACCCACTCCACCTGCTCCACCCCCTCCCCCTCCCCCTCGATTCGCATTGATGTCTTGGCGCTGGTACAGTGGTCGCTGCTTTGGCTGCTGGGGCACAAAATTGGATGTCTGCTCGGCCGCATAGCTGGGCGGTGGGTAGTCATGGCTATCATAGGATATTTTCTGCGAGGCGGTGGTGGGTGGGGCTGGCAGCGAAGGCGGCGGCCTTGTGGGCCTTCGATACGAGGGGGCGGGGCTCTCATCGAAGACGTAGCCGGGTCGCTTTAGATACACATCCTCCACGTGGCCAGGACGCTGGTTCTGATGGTTCTGCTGGTGACTGCCCACCAGGAGGGATGACTGTACGGTATAGACCTGATCATCCTGAGCTGGCTGCTCCCGTTGGTATTGAATTATGGAAGGCGGTGTGGGTGTATACCGATAGTTCTGCTGGGTGTACGGATCCAGGTAGCTAACCACCGGCGTTGTGGGGAGCGGAGTGCTCTGGAAGACCGAGTGCGATCCCTCGGGAAAGGAGAACTGTTTGTCCAGTGCCGTCTGCTGCTGACCTACTGAGTTGGGCACTTCACGCTTGTAGTTCGGCTCCAAATAGCTGGGGGGATAGCGATTGAAACCAGCCTGCGGCATCACATCAGAGGGCGTAAAGTCCAGCATTTGGGAGGGTCTGAATCCTCCGCCGGAAGTCACTCGTGCTGAGGTTTCAGTGGGATTCTGACCCCCTGAAACCTCCTCCGAGGGAAAGAAGTTTTTCAGCTTAACCGAAATCTGCTTTTCATCACTGAAAAAAAGAATAAATGTTAAAATACCATAAGAAAAATATCTCACAAATTAATGACTTAAAAGGTTTCTTAATACACAAATGTAAGCTATAAAATGCTTAATTTTTTTTATTTTGAGCAATAGAAATTGGGATTTACTTTTCATTTAAAAACACAAATTTAAGAATCTAAAAACAATATTACGAATTTTAATTTTTCAAATAATTATATAACTTTAAGGTCAGAAAAATATTAATTTTTGTTTTAAGTAGCAAATAAAATGAAAAGCAAGGACATTGAGCATATTAATTTTTGTTTTAAGTAGCAAAAAAAAGGAAAAAGCAAGAACATTGACTATAAAATTAGCAACACAGGCTCGAGGAAATTTGCATAATTTAAGGAAGCTCAATCAACTCACCCGTTGCCATTTCTTATGCACGACACGTCGAGGACTAATGCGATAATTAGAATTGCAATTTTCCATTGCACACTTCGCGGCTCCCATAGCAATTGCATTTTGGGGGATGGTGGGGTGGTGACGATGGGGGGAAAATGTGGAAATCCCGCTGCTCACGTCAGCGATTCATAAGCTCAAGCCGAACTGTCTTCGCACGTCGCCTAAAGTGAGGAAAATGGAATGGTGGAAAACATCATAAAAACTTGCTGTCAACTCAAACTACAAAAGAATTTCGCGCAATTTCCGACGACTTGTGCTCGACATTTTCTTGCTACATTTGCACATAAATTTATAGATTTACCACCCACCGCCCTCGGGGGATGCACATTTGCATTCATATTAATGCAATTCTCACGTGCTATTCGGGAAAAGGAGTTTTAGTTTTCCCTGCCGACGACGACATTTGTTTAATTCCGTTTTTTATGATTGCGCCGTGTTTATGCAACCGCACGACTGCCAGAAATAATCGGATCCCATCATCTTCAGTCCCGGCAAACCATGCAAAATTATTCGGATTATTGTCAAGTTTTATTTGGCGGGACGCTGACAGGCCTTAAAAGTTTAATGCCCAGAGCGATTTGGATTCTTTTTATGCTTGTTTATATTAGGACAAGTGTCTAGAGTGCATATATCTGAATTCTAACTGGTCTGGAGTTGTGAATAAACTCTTTAGCTTGATTGTTCTTTGTTCTGAGTTAAACTTGGTTTGGAAATTTTTTATTATTTTACTCACGAGTGATAAAGGGTTTAATTTAAAAAATTGTCATCAAATAACTTTTCAATAAATGGTTTCGAAAATGGAACCTCTAAAAGTCCATAATTTAAGCAAAGAAATTGGCTAAACATTTTGATTATAAGGCAAGAAGTACATTATTTTTCTTTAGACTTCGAAGTTAAGTTTAATTATTTACTAATTACATTTAATTTATTTAAGCGATTTTACTAACAAGTGTTTTTAGACAATGGATAAAAAGACTTAATAAAATTATTTTTTTTCTTTAAAACCACATTCATTTTTAATGTCCATTAATTTCCAAGTCTTTTCTTAAACAAATCGTATCTTTATTGACTTTCATTCTCATCATTTCTATTGTGCTTTTTACAGATCATATTTTATGAATCAGTGAAAGTGTGTTTTATGTTCTTAGGCAAAACTCTTTTCGCCCCATCATCTTTCTCTTATTGGTTTATTGATTTCTATAGTTTTTAGCACACACACAGTTCATTCATTGGAGTCTTAACAAATTTAACTCTTTTCGTCTTCTGCGAACCATAAATTTTACCATAAAATATGCACAGTTTGTCGCCTTGTTTAGTGCGTCATTTAGCGCTCTTCGATTTGCATTTGCATTTAAATGGAGTCAAGGTTGTCATAAGAGACAGAGTGTGTGGAAAAAATGTTAAACCCTTTTTAAAGATGACGCACAGAAAATTTCGAAATTATCAGGTTAAAGTCTCACTCCGTTTGCAGCATCTGTGCAGTGTTAAAAATATATTATTTATGTTTGTGCAATTCTTGTGCAATATAAAAACAACTCCTATGCCAAATGTCTTGTTGAATATAAAATTTAAATTCCATGCAATTGCGAACGGAGACGGGCAACAGACTTTGCCAGCTGTAATTGCACCCAAAAATTTTATGATCCCCATCCGAGGGGTAAAAGATATAGGGGGGGATATTCGGGGAAGTACCAGAAAACTGCATTTGCCGCTGGCTGGCACCAGAGGGCGCTGCACTAAACCGAAAGACACCAGACGGCAATGGAAGTTTACAACAAGAAATGGCAGCTAATTTTAGAAGTGTGGGGGGTTTGGTTTGCAGCAGGTGCAAGGATCACAAAATGCACATTGAGTGGGGGAGGGGTGTATGTCAAAATGGGAGAAGGACACCGAACGAGGAGGCGGTGACACGAAAGGACACTTTACGCTCGAGATGCGTTCCAAATTGTGCGGGCAAAGACGAACACGGATACGGATGCGGATGCGGATACGGCGTACGTGTTGTGAATTCTTTGGGAAAGTATCCTCTGCTTGTCAAATTACATAATCCACTCAACACGCCCCCGCCTTCGCCCCGCCCACCAATTAGCTTTAATGTCCAAGGCGTGCTGAGGTTCGATCTGAGTCTTATTGCTGGACTCGCACAGAAAAAAATTGGAATTTAATGGTTTCAAGATATTCAGCTACTCAATTGAACATTTTAGTATTTTTGTAATTATGTACAACTTTTTTATGTATTCTCTTGCAAAAGTTTTCTTTAATTTAAGATTTTTAAATAATTTAAACAAAACTGGAATGAATGATAAAAAATTCTTTGGATAAATTTATAATTTATTTATTTGTGGTTAATCAATGATTTCAATCTGGGTTATATTTTGTCTTTATGTTTTTCAAATACATTTAAACATTTTTTATAAATATATCTTGTACACTATTTAAATCAACAATTTTTGCTAATCCCCGAGTTTTGTAAGATATTTGAATCTGTATTTTTCGAATCACACATTTTTTTCTTGTACACCAAATGAGTCACTCGAGTCACCGATTTTTGTAATGCCATTTTTGCGCAATTCTCTACTGTTGTTTCCACTTCTTTCCACAACTTTCTTTTCGTCTTCCTGGCTGGTTGAACTCGAAAATTGCCCGGGCGCGTTTCTAGACACAATTGCCATGCATTGTTTGGTTTTTGAATTGCTACATTTGAACAACTATTTAAGGGGCCCGGCTTTTGATTTTGATTTGCACACTTTCGGTTTCAATTTCGCCGTGGGTTTTTTCCCCAGCTAACTACTCACTACTCACTGCAACTTTTGTGTGGCCGCCGTTGCTTCTTTATCTTCGCGTATCGCAAACGAAACTGAAAGCGAATTTCGAATCGAAACTGGTTAAGTTTTGAGCTCAAGCGACGCAACCGGCAGACGTAAGCGGTGTAAAACTAAAAGCAAAACACAGACGATTCGACGACGACAACGTCTTTCCGGCTTTAAGTTCGGCGATCGTTTGACACGCGACGCCGGCGCAGAAAAGCCACAAAGCCATTTCTCTGGAGATATTGCCGAGGTCTACAGGTACGGCCAAGAGAGAGCTCCACTACCAACTCGGCTTGGCCAGGTGGATTAGCGTTAACAGAGAGCTGCCCGACTTGGTAAAAGAGAGGAGGAGAGGCTTTCAGCTTGGAGAAAAAGGCCCCGCATCTCTGAAGGTCAATAGTTGAAAGTTTAAACTATAAAAGAGAGGGGGACTATTTTTTTTAATTTTTGTACGTATACTCATATAATTAAACAAATTTATATTATTCAAGAAACTACAAGAACTTGTAACATCTTTTATTACAATTTTATACACAATATAGCTAAAGCTGTATCTTCTTTCAAATTCAAACTTATTTAGAAAATAAATATTAATAAAATAATCCCACACAAGTCAATCTTTAATAAAGATGTAACAAATTCAAAAAAAAAAAACAAATTCTAAAGTTTTGTAAATTTTGTTTCGCTTTTTTTATTGCTTAAAAAAATGGCACGCTTTTATGATTTATTAGTTATCATAAAATATTGATAATTTTAAATCAGATTTATTGCTTGTTACTTGGCTTCACAATATATGTAGAAAAAGGCTTGTGACATTTTTAAGTCCGCTTTAATTTTAGGTCCATTATTAACAATCATGGCAGCAAGTAATCCGATTTTTCAACACTTAGCTCTTAGCTGATCATTCAACTCGGTTACACACGACGTTGTCAATCACAATTACATCTGCATTGCGCCGATTAATTGGCGCATTTGTTACACTTTTCAGGTGAGAAATGATTGTCCAGCGAGACAGTTGACCAGCCAAATGGCTTTATTATAATGGGCCAACAGCCAGTGGGGCCAGCAAATTGGACGTCTGAGTGAAAGTTTAGGCCCCAAAGAGCAGGCCAGCTAAATGGCTAAATAGCTAACAAGTCCCAACAACCAAACTGAACCCAACTGAAACCGAAACCGAAACTGACTCGAGTTGAGTAATTTTCTGCTCTAGTCGCCCATCTCCGCCCCTCCAAGCGGCTTTCTTTTCCCATCCCAGCTGTTGGTAATAATAATTTTTATTGCCTCTGAGGTAACCTCATGGGCTGATATTGGTACGGATTTGGCGGTCAACAGAAAGCAAAACCGCATATCTTCCAAAGATCGTGGGCTGTTCCCCGAACTCGGTTCAAGACTGAGTCCCAATCCAAAAACTGTGCCAATGTCTGTCATTCAACCCGCTTTACTTTTTGCTTTTGGCCAGTCTCGCAATTTGTTTACATTCGGTTGAGTTATGCAAAGATCGAATTGCCGTCTTCGGGTCATGATTGATGAATGGCAAGTCGGTGGATTTTTATATCCGCCTGTGGGAGTAACTAGGTGTGTTGTGCGGCCATGAAAGGTCGTCGATGAGTCGCCGATTTGTTACCCGTTGTGGCACTTTGGGAAAGCCCAAATAAGTTAGATTATTGCGTGAGCGTTCAAAAGAGCGAACTTTGTAATAACATTTTTGAAATACATAGGCAGTTTATTGCTTGCATGATTTCCCATTAAAAATGACGTATACGTACGTTAAGTCTGAACAAATAGACAAACATCCTTGAAATAAACTTGAAAATATAACTGCATACTGGCACAATACAATGTATGTTGTTACTTATGTAGACAGCTATAAAAACTAGAGATATTACTCTAAATTTCGATATTGATGCCTAAAAACAATGAAGTTTGGCCGATTTTCCAAAAATTTTTTCGATCAGCTATATTGTTCGATTTGTATAAAAGTAAAACTGAAATTCTGAAATCGTTGAAAATTACTATGTATCTGAGTACTTGAATATATGTTAAGAAACAAAGAATTTATATTTGTAATTCCCTTTTCCCGATTTTTCCTATGGGGGCTATATTTTATAGTAAGCCGATCTGGGCCGTTCCGACTTATATACTACATGCAACAGAAAGAAGACTTTCGCAAAGTTTCATCCAAAAAACTTTAAAACTGAAGTTTTGCGTAGAAACGGACATGAATTGTCTGCTGATGCTGATCAAGAATATATATAATTTATAGGGTCGAAAATATGACCTTCCCTGTTGTGTAAGCTTTTGACTGAAATATTAATACCGTCTGCAAAAAATGTGGAATAAGTTATATTATTAATATTTTAGATCTAAAATATCTTTATATTTTATTAAAACGAGATGTTTAAATCAAAATGGCAATTCTATATAAGACTATTTTTTCAAGCACCTGGGTTATGGATACTTAAATTTACCAGTGGTAAATGCAAGCAGGCGTAAAATCGTGCAAAAATTAATAATTATGTGGACGACCCACCATTTCATATGAGCTAACTCAGAGCCATGTTTCCTGAGCGGATGAAGGGATTTAAATGCAAAGTCAGACCACCAGATATCCGTGTGTTTCGTATTTAATCAAAGGGGTCCTTCTGGCTGCAGGTTTGCGTAAAAAGGTTGTTAAAATTATTATGAAATGCCTGTTGGCATGCAGGAAACCAACTTCCCTCGGAGTTTCAGCCATTTTCCGACCATGTTTGGATCCCGGGACAAATGACCACTTATCAACGTGTAATGAAATATGGTACATCTGCTGCCATAAAAGACAGCCCAGCCCCAGTTGGCGTCTTTGTCCTTGGATGGTCAGCCTTTTGTCCTGCTATGGCATGTCGTATGAATTATGTTGATGGGCCCCCCTCCCCCGACATCCCCCCACCCCTCTGGCGTGCGGGTCTCATTTATTACATTTTGGCTTTTTGACAGATTGCTAAGCGTAGTAAGCGTTTCCGCACTAATTTCCGTGTCCTGCAACTATTTGTTGTCTGGTTTGGCTAATGCAGTTGAAAAAATAATGTATATTTAGTAAACACTTTTCGAAAAAATAAACTAAAATCAGGTAACAAAACAAAAATTTATATTTCAAGCTTGGTATATTTTTGTATTTTGATATTAAAAATGTATAAAAATTCCTTTTTAATATTAAACGTGTATTATTTGGTAAAAGTGTAACTGGACAGCATTAAAAGCCAAAAGCAAATTACTCATCACATCAACGGTCAGCAAGGGTCTCCTGTTCTGTTGGCTTTTTATTATGTATGCCATGTACAGGGATTTTAATAAATCGTTTCCTACCATCTACGAGTATCTATTCGTCTCCCGTTGGACATCCTTTCAGCTTGGATTTTCTGTCTCTTTGGGTTTTTATTAGTTTGTCAATAAAGTGCCAAAAGACGTTGATTATGATCGCCATATATTGCTGCCTCTCTTATGAGTTATCCAGCTGATGGCCTGCAGGCCAGGAAAATTTATGAGTCGTGCTCAAACCATTTTCCAGATATGAGATTGTTTATTTCCTTCCGTTTGCCGTACTTCTTAACCATTTCCTCTGAAGTCTTGAGAGGCTTGTCCGTGTCTTTTCTGCTTTCCTATTCCTGCAGTTGACATAGGTTTATCAGTTAGCAGAGATGAGCAAAGTTGGAGCTGAGTCAATACTATAACGCCTAAGGCAAACAAAGTAAACAGCCCTTTTTAGAAAGCAAATCAAATTTTGGTTTCTCTCAAAGAAATATCATACAAATTTACTAACTACCTCTTAATATTAAATTGAACAAAACTTTCCCATTACAGTTTCTAATAAAATCTTTTAGTAGATGTATATTTGTAAAATATATTGTAAATTGGCAATAGGCCCTTGGTTTCATTTAAACAAACTATTGATAAGTATAAAATATCGAGATATGTATTTAGCCCTTGGATTAATTTAAACAAATTATTGATAAGTATAAAATATAGATATATGTATTTAATTTCTCATCCCAACATCAAGTAAGCAATCTGTGAAAATATCTGTGGTAAAATTCCCATGTATCCTGCGGATTCAAATGGAATGGGAATTACATGGCAGACAAACGAGACAAGTTTCTTACATTTGTGTGCATGTTTCAGGAGCCACTTATCTACGTTCATACCTGTAGCTCCTTGCGAGAAAGGGAAGGATTTGTCCTGTGTGTGCACTTTGTTATAAATTTTTAATGCATTTTTCCTACCCGTGCATTTCACACAACCCGCTTTTTGAAGTCGGGGGGTTTCTCCTTTAATGAAATTAACTTTTTCTTCCTTCCACTTTAGCTTAAAACTGAAATAAGCAGATGCGTTACACTCTCAATGAGTTTTATTTATAATTGAATTACTTTTAAGTGGCTTTCAAGTGGCGAATAGTTAAGCAGTACACAATCTAATTAGAACATAGAAAAACATTATGCTAGGGTAAGGATATGTGGATTGGGTAACGCTCAAGTATGGGATGTATCTGTTTAATAAGATATTTTTAATTAAATGACAAGAGTTTTAATTTTTTTCGAAATTACAAATATTAATTGTAAAGATGACATTTACGAATTTTTAAAATTAAAATTTAATATAAGGGTATGCATATGTGGATTGGGTAACGCTCAATAATGATGTTAAATGAGCTATTTTTAATTAAATGACAACTGTTTTAAATTTTTTGCAAAATAGGTAACACTAAGAACTTTAAAAATTAATATATAATATAAAATGGTATAAATACAAGGGAATGTAAATTCTTTCAACTCTCATTACATCCAACCTCTCTAAAAACCGCAGGCAGTTAATTACGTCTAATTCGCGGCAAATTGCCAAATGCAAAGGACGAATGTTGTTTGGCCTGAAATAATTTTAATAATCGGGCTGGTTTGCGGTGAGGTTTTCGGGAGGCACATTCCTTCCAATGAACTTTGCCAATATGTGACACAATGTCCTGCTTCCTTTTGTTTATTGCTGTTGGCAGGTGTCGAACCAATAAGTAATTACCATAAACCAATGGAATGGGAATGCGGCGTTTGATTAGTTTTGTTTAAAATTTAATTGAAAACTTGTAAGATTTCAAGGGTCCGATTAGCAGTCGCTATTTGATATCCACTGAGGCGTTTCGGACACGCGTCCAAATTCAATGAATAAAGCAGTTTCAGATTTAATATGCCGTTTTGATTGACACTTGCATGTGGCCGTGATTGAAGGCGGAAACGGATGTCATGACCGCTAAGCCTGAGGTTTTCGGGTGGCCAGGTTAACATAATTGCCCAGCCTGAGCTGCGTTTCATTATAATCGTCATCGCCTGCTTAAACCGTTAATAACACATCATTTTTGTGACACGACCAATGTGGCCTAGTATCCAGTTACCAAGTCGCGTGGCGCGTCTGCAGGAGCAGCAATTATTGGCCACTTAATCCGCAACCACAAAAGAAATAGAAACTACAAATTGGTTTAGGCATTCGCCTGGTTATTTGCCGCTCAAGTGGCCAGCATTCGCCATTTAAATCGGGAAAAACTCTCTCGCACGCACACTTCACCCCTTAAAAAGCATGAAAAGGTGGTTTTTTTCTGGGGAGGAGGAAAAACCCAAACCTAAACGCAATACTTCAGTGGTTGTAGTTTCCATAGCTGCCTGAAAGTATGCCTCTAAAAATTCCTTGTGGTTTGATTAGTGTACAACTCATGTAGAATTGTATATGGTGTATAGGTAAAGATAAATCTTGTCCAAACTTTAAATTCTAATTGCATTCAGAGAACATATATTTTAAATTCACCCATCCATTAAAATTTCGAACTTTTTTGTTTTCAAATATTTTTTTCTTTTATTTTCGTTTGTAAATCTTACATAATATTTATGCGCATTTATTTCATTTACACATACACATAGATGTATTCATATATATAATTTTTTTTGTCTTATGAACATATTCATGAGATCAGTAATGATATTTATGTATAATAAAATATTACAGCATAATATAAAATGTACAAGTAAACAAGTGATTTTTGCTTTCGAACTAAACTAAACTAAAACAGAAATGTTTTCTTAAATTGAATTGACAAAATTGCTGAATCAAACTTATGATTGAAGTTACGATATATGTATATATATAATATGTGAAATACACGTGTTCATAGACAATTATTTGTCACTGTTTTGGCACCAAACAAAATCCTATACAAAAAATGGCATTTGATTCTATAATTCGAACTGTGCTATATACAAGGTCGAGTAAAGATACTTAAATTTAAAAACGGATTAAGTCGCATTGGGTCAAAAATATAAATTTCTTGTGTTTCATTCTGATTATTTTTTCCATTTGCTTCGTTTTTTTGTTTTAAACTTTTTGTTTGAGTATTTATGGCAAACCAAAAATCTTGTCGACTTCTGGGCGCAAGGCCACAAAACTTTACCGAGATCATTGTGAAAACTAATTAGCAATAAACCGAGGAAGGATATGGGATGAATCCCACAACTCGCATCCCGGTTCATTTGATGCAAAAAATTTACAAAAATAATTTTTCATTGGGTATAGATGTAGTTTTTTTTTTGTTTTGTGGTAATTCAAATTAAGATTGATACATTTGTACGATAAAAATGTTCTATTGTTTTGCTGGGAATTGTCTGGGGACTGGGTGTTGGATTGGATTGGATTCGATTGGGGCTGTCACTTAGGCTACACAAATAATATTGCTTTATATACATATAAACTCGTGTCCGAAGACAGCTTAATAAACTCACTAAATCGACTTAAACATTCTAGAACGTAAAACTAAAACGCTTGGCGAACTTAATGCTAAACTTTTCGTTAATTTTTGTTTCTGTTTCTCTGTTTCACTTCTGCTTTTTATAACATTTCTCATTGTAAAAAACGGTTGATGTATTTGTATTGTATAAATCCATGAGATCAATGCGATTTTTGGGAATTGTTTTTTCTTTCTTTTTGATTGATTTTTTCTTATTATTTTCGCTATGTTTGCTTTCATGTCACGGTATTCGATTAGCATTGAAACGCCCTGGAAATTCTAAGCAAATAGTGAAAATTGCTATTAAACATGTTATCCTCTTCATCTCTTTTTTTACTTTGGCTAGCTGTGGAGATCAATTTTCATTAATTTCCATTGTGAGAGATCATTTATGTGCATTCCAAAAAAAGACTGTGTAAGAATGGGAAAACCATCTCTCTCCTGGCCAAATTTCAATCGTATTGCCATCAACTTCCTGGGCGTGGAGCTTAAAACTACTATATTGTGAGACCAATTTGAATATGATGATGAACAAACAATGACAAAAAATTACAAGTAAACATAAATCATAAGAAATTTAACTAAAATAACATGACATAAAACGTAGACACAAAACATCACAAAAATGGCATTAAAACTATATACAAAATTAATTTAATTTTTTTTTCATTCATTTTTTTGTTGCGTTTTTCTCTGCTTTTGTTTTAACAATTAAAGCTAGGCGTGTGATTTTTTTGTGGGCTTACATTTAAAAATTCTACTAGTTAAACATATTTAAAATATATATAATTTTTGTTTTGCTTGCAATTCGGAATTACAAATGCGAAGACATTGAAATTGCTGTTTACTTTGTTCTACAATAGAAATAATTTTGTTGTTGCTTAAGAAAATGCACGTGTGGAAATGATTAAATGCAAATCAAAGATTTTCAAAAGTATCTCAAAAAGTGGCAGTTTTTTTTTGCTTATCTCCGTTTTTTTTGTACTTGTGTAATTTGTAAATATCTCTCAAAAGGTTGTACAAAAATATGCATCAGCAAAAAAATAAGTGTGATTTGAGTCTCTTGCCAGTCTAAGAGTTTTCATTACTTTGAGCAGTTTAAATTGTTCACTTTGAGGAAAGTTCTGTTTCGTTCGATTTAGAAATACAAATGCAGTTACCATAGACAGATAGAATATATTGTTCTTGTGTCCCGTCAACCTTCTTAATCTTAGGCATACACATATTTCGGTTTATGCATGTATGTTGGCTGTGTATATTTATATAACAATTCGTTTACGAATTAATGACTTTCTGCTTGCGGCCTTGCAGTTCAATAAATTCGTTGCACTTATTTACGTTTTCGCTATGTCTATGTATAGATCGGCATATATATCTTAAGCGCTAGATGATTTCACTATAGATCATTCGGTTACACGTCTCCCGCGGTTTCATCGCGCTGCAAAGAAGCCACAGCCCATGGCCAAAACGAAAACGGTCACAACAGTTGGCCAAGTGAAGCTATGTGGTTTCTGAAAGCATAAAGGAATATAGAAATTTACTTATTGTTGTTAAATTGCATAGTAAATATAATATTTAAACAGGAAACAACAAGTTCCTTAAATACAACATTAATTCAATATTTTATGTCCCTCTACAAATTGCTTAAATACAACATTAATTCAATATTTGAATCAATAGATGGCCCTCTTATCACACTCCCCAAATAAGAAATCGACTCATTTCAACCAATAGCTCCCCTGTGTGGCATAAAATATCTAAAACCACACACGTGACCGAACCACCCCTCTCAAAAGCAACGATCCCCGCCCCTCAATCAGTTTGAACCGTAAATCAAGCGAAACTATTGACTGTCCAGCGGATGAACTTCATGTGGCCTGACCCAAATGGGCGGTCAACTTCTGTCCGGTCACTGTTGTAATTATTTTTCTATATAACGCACTTGACTCTCCCCGCAGCCCGCAACAATGGTTATATAATTTACACCATTTATTTGTCCAATAGTCCACGCTTCAATGGTTGCAGTGTGGCACGTGTGAATGATGAGGTGGTGGAACTACAACCACCAAAAATCCATTTGACCCATACATTTATTATGCAAATTTTGCCCGAATTTTAGGCTATATTTTGATAGGACTTTTGTGGCTTTGACTTTGCGTTTAATGGTATGAAAGGCCATCGAACATGTGGCCATATTTTGATTTGATATTTGGTATGAGTAAGCAACGAAATTGTTATGAAATGAACACCATCAGTAGTTTATATGTTTATAAAATGTACTGCTGGTATATCTGTACTTGTTATTATTAATTTAAAATATGGTTTATTTAATTAGTTTCTTTGTGTTCAGATAATTAATAGGTGTTATTTAATAATATTTAATAATATTTAATAAACCCTTTATAATTTTGTTATTTACCCAAGCTCATTTCAATTAACTCATTAACATACGTGTTTATGTGTTTACCTGCTCTACTTGGAAAACATCTCGTAGGTACTTAAATGAAATTTAATACAGATTAACAGAATCTGTACTCCCTTTCATTCTCCTAATTAGTCAGCTTTTACGCTTAGCTAGTATAGAATATTCCGAATGTATTTAATTCTGCAAGTGAGAGTATGTGCGCCTGTTCATTTTAGATTACGGAATTTCTCACGCTCTCATTTAGCAGCTGACAGAGTCTCGGATAAGGTCAAATCCCAGCGCGCTGAGTGAGCTGCTATATAGCTTCCCGATCAGCACGCAGCTTCCCCAAGGATGAGCCCCCAACAAAGCGATGGGCGATAAGAAAAGAACACCCAGACCAGACCCAACATGAATTACAATAAAAACTAATCGAAGTGAATTGGAATAATAAAATATAGGACTGAACTGAACTGGAAATGGTATCAGTGGTCTGAGTCAGTGTGTGTGTCATGCGATTGCGATTGAATTTCTTCCACTTTGCACTTCTTTCAATTGCGCAGGCAAAAGCGCAAGAAACTAAACTAAAACTCAAAAACGCAACGCGTAAAAAAGTGAGGGTCAATGAGGGCCGACACAAAGGCCCGACTTAAGGGGTATGAATATATATATATATATATATATACATATATGGTTATATTGGAGGCGCCTGCCTTGATTAGCATAAAGCCGAGACGAGCAGCGGAGACAAGTGACAAGAGCGACTCTTTCTCTCCGCACTGCGCAATTAATTTTTATCACACATTTTAACAAGTGCAAAAAGTGTTATACACACTCTACTAAATACAGATACATTTGCGAGCGTATCTCCACATCTGTATCTGCGAATGCGACTCCTTTTGCGTGTGGCAATTTGTCATTCCTTGGCGCGTATTTTTAGCACTTTTCGCTAGTTGAGCCTTTGAAAAATGTTTGCCACGTGCCACGGCTTTTGAGGGAATAGCATCATACATTGCCAGCAGATGTTCCATACACCGAGTTAATGAACTCCCCAACTTATCTCCTCTTGTTATTCTAATTGCTGAATAGGTGGAGGGAATGAAAATGCTGACAGCGATTTCAGCATAGAACGGGCCCGTCAGTTTGAAATATTTTTCTAAATATACCAACTAGATTTAGATACGGATTTCGAGAATTCATTTGCCTATTATGTGTTAAACTATGTATTTAATAATTTGCAAATTAACTACATTTCATTTACTGTTTTTGAGTAAATTTGTATCTTTATAAATAGAAAGTTATGGAGTTATAAAATTTGTACCCCTGAAAAGACTTCGAGTTAGCTAAATTTACTAAGAAGAGTATTTAAAGTCAATCTTTTTTCTAAGATATTTAGAGTTTGCTTTAATCATTTTTTAATTTAAAATTCAATGATTTAACTCAAAATTAGTTGTCTACGAATTTTTAAGGTGTGACTAAAATGTAATGTGGTGTAATGAATGACTAAACAATGTATTTTAAAAAGAAACCCTACGTCAATATAAAGAATTTTATAAATAATATGAACTGTGGAGTTTGTTTTTCGAATTAAAAAATGATTTAAGTGGGTGAGAGATTCTTACCTTCTTCTCGGCCTTCGACTTTTGCCGTTCCCGCTCCACCTGTCGCTGCTGACTGATGCTGTTGATGGTGGCATTGCTCTCCGCATGGGAAGTGCTACTGGGCTGGCTGTTGTTTTGGCAAATGGGATTCTTATTGCTGCTGCAATAGCCACTATTGGAGTTCTTCTTCTTTCGGGGCGGAATTCGTCCATTGAACTCCTGCAGGCGCTCCCGTCCGGCCGTAAAGTTGTCGTAGCGATCGTCGAACTCATCCCAACTGGTCTCATGATCGCTCTGGTACTCGCGCTCATCCTCGCCCGTCGAGGTCAATCGCTTGCTGTGGGAAGAGACGCATAATGGGCACTATAAATATCGCTGCCATATAGACGAGTGACTTGGGAACGTCATGAGCAATTATCAGTTCGGGTTTGTATAGCACTATACTCCTACTAGTGTGTGTGCGCATAATCCAGCGACAACTTTGCGATTTCATTAATTAAAAACTTATCGTTGTGTCATGGGAATTAAAATAGGAAACGGGGTGGGACGTAAGGTGCTGGGATTACGTTGAATAATCTTGCTATTACACCATGGTTCTTCACTTGTAATCAATTTTAAAGCTTGTGCATAGCTATTCTAGTCTCTGTTCTCTTGTAAATTAGTTTATTCAGAAAATTATTTATCGTCTTTTCTATGATAGAATAATATAGGCATCAAAATACTACTAATTCTTAGTCTACTCTACAAGCGGAATATGTTTACCCTATATATTTAATACTAAATATACTACAGAGTATTTAATAACATCAAAGAAGGGATTTTAGAACCTATTGAAAAGTGTTAATTATGTAGGATTTTATTGAATTTGAATTTAACTTTTGTTCTTATGGTAGAATTATCGAATTTTAACTTTATATTAAATAAATTCTCAGCAAGCCTAATTGAACACCCTGATTAATTAGTTTTCAATAAATCAATTTTATATCTGTTCTTTTAATTTGGATCTTTTTAACCCTGATTTACTACCCTTCCAAACTTTCTATTTAAATAATTTCCAATTGGGCCTAAGTGTAAACATGTCATGGTCATCTAAAATGTGTCAAATTTCTGGAAGCTCATCGCTCCAAATCTGAATCTGAATCTGTACCCCCCAGGCACTGAGTCCAAAGGCACCCTGCATCGCTGCATACTCACCGTCTGGCCGCATCCGACTGGCTGCGCTGCAGGCGCATCTTGGGCGCCAGTGGCGCCGACAGGGGCGTCGACGAGAGGGGGCTGTGGATGGGGCCGTGCCAGCCGAAGGCCGCCGAGGAGGAGGACGAGGAGGTCGAGGTGCCCGCACTGGCCGTGTTCGGTGTGGGTGGCGGCGTGTAGGCGGCGTAGTAGTGACCGCCCATCCCGAAGTGGTGCGACATCAGGTGGGGCGACTGCTGTGGATAGCTGTGGCTGCAGTGCATCGGCGGCGCTGACTGCGGTGGCATTGGCTGCGGTGTCGATGGCGCCGGATACGGCGGATGTGGATGCGGCTGCTGCTGCCGGAAGAAGTACTCCTCGTCGGAGGAGCGGGAGCGGGGGGTGCGCGGGAGCGGAGTCGGATTCGGATTTGGGTGGCCGTGGGGAAAGAACACATCGCCGCCACTGTAATTGCAAGAGGGGCTCGGCGGTGGCGGATACTGGAAGATTTGCGGGGCTGCAACGAAAGCATAATATAATTTACGATTAAAATACAGTAGGCACTCGGTAAGAAATCTTAAAAGTTAAGAATAAAAATCGCAGTAGGTTTTTAAGCAACAAAAAAAATAATTTATAAATAAAAAATAAATTTATTAAATAAAATATGGTTTGGCATTCACTCAATAACTTTCATGCAAACTTTATACTGTGGTTCAGATATTAAAAAATAGGTTTTCCATTAAAAATTAAATGAAATTAAAATTAGTCCAACACTTTGATCGTTCCCTGTGTACTTATTTATACCCGTAATAAAGATCACCCAACAATGGATGAGGTAAACAAAGGCGGCATTGGCCGGGTCTGGAATCAAGTCGACTTGACTCAGTGACAATGTAGGGAAGTGTCTAAGGTCGGGGCTCTGGCGAATGTATTGTCTTGCCAACAACTGCCACTTAGCCGACTGACTGTAAAACCTGCCGTAATTATGGCAAGTCCTCTGATCATAAAACCAGCCCATAAAATGATCAGGTAGCCCCACCAGTTACAGGCTTCAGTGCACAATAAAATGGAATATCTTCATATGCCGGTGCTCCAGGAAGCCACAAAATGGTGTTTTTAAGATAAATGTTCGAATAAGATGTTATGTGAAACGTTGAAAATATTTAATGGTTATTGGACACCTTAATTAAGCAATATGGCGTGTCTACCAATAAAAAAGAATAATATTAAGTTAAGAGGTTTCCCTGATAAATTGATATTGAATATTTTCAAAGTGAAACCAAAAGCAATTTAAAAATAATTCTAGCTCTCTGTTAATATATTTTTATCGACATATTCCCCTCTGAAATACATATCCATGAACAATGGCAAATAATATTCCACTTATCCCCAGCGTTAAGTATCTTACAAGTCGCCAGAAGATACATTTGTATCCAAGTTGTTTACACGCCATTGCCGATTCTCGGGCTCACTTGCCCCAAAGTATTTTTGCTTTTTTTTGTATCTTTGGCAAACACTGCCAAGAGCATCTACTTGAGTGGCCCAACTTGAAAAGTATCTGTATCTGCCAATGAGATATCCCAAGTTAGCATCATTTATGCATGTAACGAGAAGCGTATCTGTATCTTCTGTTTGTCTTCCAGTTGTATTGCAATTTTTGTTCGCCTCTTTTTTTATTTTACTTGCAATTTCATGCAAATCGACAACAAAAGCGTTGATAGGTAAATGCGCTGCTAAGCTGGGCACTTGATATGCGCATAAATTGTGAGCTCCTCCATTAGTTGGGTGTACATTTTCATCTATATGATTTCTTAATGTTTATTTACTTAAAAAGCCATTGCCCAGCGACAAATGATTGATTGTAATGCAAAATTTATACAAATCGCCAGCAGCCGGCGGCAGAAGTATCTTAACGATTACCGAGAGCACCAAGAACAATAATAATTGAGCGACCGCAGGGAATGTCCGACAATCTAGTCGATAGATCCATCTGTCTGCCTCTTTGGCGGTGGTCAGCGTGCAGATATACAATAATGTCACTCACTGTCAACCTGCAGGCGACTAATTTGCAATTTGACCCAATAGCCTTGAACTCGAATCGAATCGAAACGAGCCCACAGCTGTTGCGTTTTGCAGTTGCATTTGCAGTTGCAAGAGCGCAAAAAATCTGTATTTAATTGCAGGCCAAGCCGATCCGATCCGAACCGAAGCGAAGCGAGCCAACAGCCAAGAGCCACTCCTTGCCGCAGCCTTAGCATGTGTATCTGCAAGATACTGGCAGGCATTTGAAACTAGTTTGCCAGTTTGCGAACTAGCAGCTGAGCCAACTCACGTGCGCTCACCGCGCGCCATCGTCGCTTTTAACCTTGAAAATCTGCCAGCTTTAGCTTCAGCTTCAGAAGCGAAGCGAAGCCAACGGCAGGGATCATTACTGCCTGGCCAACTTATATAACTAGCCATGCCATGCCGATGCTGGTACACAGAGAACAAATACCAGCGAGATTGGTCATCGATTCGGTACTTTTTTGTCTTAAAAATCTCTATCTCGTAACACATTAAAGGTTCATTTGATAACACCAAAAGGATATATGATCTTATTTAATCTAACTATTATAATAATAACTCAAGACATCTCAAAACTTTATTTTTAAGAGGTAGAAAATGTATATATTTTAATGAAAACTCCTAATTTTAAAATATACTTCATCTTTTGTTTTTACTTTTTTAAGATCCTTTATAATATTTAAAAATTAATACAATTTTAAAATTGATATAAAATTTGATCTTCAATAATCTGTTTACATTATAGAACTTTTTTATTTCAAGTGTTTTTCCATGTGCATTACCTTTATGATGAAATTGACGAGCTATGGCCAAAGCAAAAGGCAGATACAAATTTTATTACTAATTGTAAATTGTGTGGAAAATTATTTACCTACACATTTCGTTTGCTTTCCCATTTACATATGAGATACATTTTCATTCGGTGCTGGCAGCGTCAATTCAAATTATCCAACTGATCGGATAGCGAATAAATTGCCATGGGTTACTAAACTGTGATTTAATCTGAGATCGGCAAAATACGTAAGCAAACTATCTGTGTAAAGTGAGATTTAATCTTCGACTAAGTGAGCATGTTTTAAATTCTCTATTTAAACGGTGACGTGGTTTAACAATCTTATCTGTTTTTAGCTGAAATCTTAGAACATAATTGTGAAAAAGTTGAAAACTGTAATTAAGCTATGCTGTGTGCCAATTTAAAAAGCTAAATAATGTTTAATTTAACTTGAGCTAATGTCAATTAGGGTTTATACTTTGTGTTATCTATTTCACACTTTAAATAGGTGATAATGAAGGGTCAGTTAATCCTTCTTTTGTTTGTTCTAATTTGGATTTAAAATTCTTATGTAGTTTATTAGGGAAAGAAGAGTGCTAATTGTCTAACATTCCTCAATTAATTAAGGCATTTCAAAGGAAAGTTTTCTTTCTTGTCAGTAGTTTTCCATTCAAGTAGTGATGTCAATAAACTAATTGTATGTTTATGTTTAGATTTTAAAAACTCCTTCCTTAATATTTTTTCGTACTTAGTTTAAGTTTTTGAAAACTCGTGTCCATCTTTATAAGGTGGATAATTCGATTAAGTTCCTATCGTTTACGACACCTCAGCAATTTTTATGATCACAATTCAATGCGGGCGATGCATTTCATTGTTAATACTGTAGTTGTTGGTGACGAAACGTGACCAATTGTTGGGAGCATTGTTTTTTATTCGAACTGCTGCATTCGCCGTGAAAATCCACGGGCGACAATATGTGCAAAATGTTTAATTGAATTACGAGTACCAGCAGTCGCATCTGGACAGAACAACGGAGAGTGAAAAAAATGCAATTATGTGTATAATTCACTTTAATTCACCATCGGTTCTAGGCGATTTTGCAACAATTTCTAAGGCCGCTGGGCAGCAGCTGACAAACATCAATCAGGCAAAAGTTTAACTAAGCAGAACGCCTCAGAAAAAGCTCAAGAACAGCTCGGAGGCAGCGGAAAAACGTGAAAAATGCCTCGCTTTAGTTGCCACACAAAAGAACAAATCGTCGTCGGCAACGTTGAAATGCATTTTTAGTTGTGCCTTTGCAGTTGATTGCATTTGCAGTTGCAGTTTTGCTGGTGTACCCGCAGCATATGTTGCTCATTATAACCTTGAAGTGCTAGCTAAATGCAAAAAAAAAAAAAAAATAATAAGAAAACTACACATAAAAATATACTAGAGTCACCGCTGCACGGGCAAGTATGAATAAATACGAGTACGGGTTCGAGTACTCGTATCACTGGTAGCCCAACTCGAACAATTGCGTCGCACTTCGGAATCGGCGGCGAAACGAGTTTGCAAAGTGCGAGTTCCATAAGTTGGTCAGTGGAACGGAATGGGAAATGCCATACGGATTGGCCAGATATCGGGGAAGGAAGCTATAGACCAACTGAGATATAGGAAGGAAGTTGTGGCCGGCAATGATTTGAGATCGCAGAGTTCTGACAACAACTTCAAGATCTATGCAAAGATAATTTCCCTCATGAGGAACTAATTTAATTATTTTTAATATATCATTATATAAATATTAATATAACAAAATAATCTTAAAAATTCGATTTTAAAGATCTTCAAATAAATAGAAATTGTTATATTATAAAGTCATGTTTGGAATATAGCGAAGCTTAAACTGGCACCGAAAACATTGAAGAAAGAAGTTATATCTTTGATCAGTTGCCAGTAAAGTAAACAACATCGAAAAACAACATGGAGAATAAATCCCCCATGGATTCACCCAACAATCTCATGTTTCATTTTTTCCATCAAAACTCCAATCCGTTGAATCTTTCAGCAAACTGCAATCTCTTCTTCCAAAATCTCAAGACCCCTCAAACGAAGCGGCAACTTCACTTGACATTGACATTTATTGATGAATATTTAATTTAAAATCCAAAAAAAAAAAAAAATACAGGACCGAAACAAGCTCAAGATGACAGAACAAAGGAACACTTAACACCGAGCTCAGACTTGAGGTTAAGCAAAGCTCAAGATTACAACATGAAATACATGTCTCGGAGGCCTGAATAACTTGGCCAAAAAATACAAAACTCAATTTACAGTTAACACAAAAACGCCCACACACGAAGAGGAAGCACAATAAGCTATAATAACAACAAGCCAAAACAGTGAATAAAAATCCCACAAAAATTACATTTGAAGTCGTTCATTTAAGGCGATTTGTCGACTGTCACGATGCGAGATTACTAATTTGGTTGGTCAACTCGCATTTCAGTTGATCGTCTGTCACCTCGATTTAATTAGGCAACAGCTGCCGCTGTTTCTCCACAGATGAACGGTAAAATTGCCAAGGCAAGTGACTAATTAATGGCTCTTCAGGAAATTGGTAGAGAATTCGGGAAACAATGCTAACTCCTGATTAAGAATTTCTGTGTTCTGGCTTTTCTATATATGACAAAAGATTGTTTTCT